CTCTAAAAAGTATGTATGACCTCATTCTAGAAAAAAAGGAGTTTTAATTTAATATTAATAGCATGATTAAAATGGCCACGGTTGATTTCATTTACCAACTTAATCAGAGACACTGAACCAAGCCTAATAAATGTGATTGTAGGGTTGGGGTGTTGAAATGAGTAACGGTTTAGTTAAAAGGTATTAAATTGTAAAATCATACAGAATTTAATATATTTTATTTTATTTTTTTGTACACAATCTCAGCCTCAAATGCCAGGAGAAAATCAAATCAAGTTATCCTAAAATATAAACATCTCTACTATTTCTAACTTGGTTTGATTTAATTAGGAACCCTAATATGATACGTTTAGCCATACCCAAAAAAAAAACTTTAAATTTGGATAAAAACAATTTATTGATTTATATGTACTTTTAGAAGATTGAAAACGATACAAAACTTAAATTATGAAAAATATGGAAATTTTCGGCCTAAAAAAAGTTAAATGAATGGTAAACTAGATTTCCTAGATTGTGAATAGTACTGAATTGCTCATGTTTATCAAAACTGATTCAAGACTGACTGGAAGCTACCTCCCTACAATAAATATTATACTAGATAACTTAGATCGTGAAACTGTATAGATTTTATTGTCCTTGATACCTATTTTCAACCTCAAGTGCCAGTAGTAAACCAAAATAATCGATCCAAAAATGTATATCTAACTTGGTTTCATTTCCAAACTTGGTTTCATATTAGTACCTTAATATGAGATGGTTATATATAGCTAATAAAAGCAAATGCTGGGTCTTATACAAGTAACAGTTTACTGGAAAATGTTTACCTATAAGAAATTTACAATTACAATAACAAGCGCCCAATGAAAATCCTAATTAAGAAAATATTAATTGATTTATCAGTAGCTCAACATAGTTGAAACTAAGACAAGTCCAACTAACCTAACTCCTGCTCCTGCCAGATCTAGCTTAAATAAATGTTTAAAATCAATGCGCCAGAAATCTTAAATTATGGTATTTTGTATATTTTAGTTTCTTTGGTAGGCAGTCAGACAGAATTGTATCTCAGTGGATTGTAGCATTAAAACTACCACTATTTCCTTTGAATCTTCTACTTGAAGAAAACAGAACAGGTGTTAGCAATGGTAATGAGTACTGGCGGATACAAGGAATGCTTTTGGGTAGAAGTCCACCACCCAAAAAAAAAAAGAAATAGATTTTTTTTTTTCATTGGTCCATATTTGTTTCTAAGCATAATCAATCACAATATGTTCTCTTTTTAAATTATAACACATTTAAATCAGGAACCAAATGTATGTCTTAAGTAAAAATATACAGATTTTATCCATAAAAGCATTATTGTTCCAAGAGATAGCATGCTAGATGAGATGTAAACTTTTATGGTAACTAATAATAATCAACATTTTCATGTCAATGTTTTCTAATATTAAACTGGTTCTAAAAACAAAATATAATATGCAATACAACAGAAAATAAATCAAGAAATCTGAAATATTTTTATAAATCTTAGAGATCAAGCTACTGGCATTAATTTATTTACAATTAATTTTTGTAGGAAGTGAAGGAAATGTAAATTATGAATTTTTGAACTTAGCATGAAATCACCAGAAATGAGATTTAACTTTTTGATTGATATGTAATTAGTTATATAATAAAACCATGAACATATTGAAATGACAATCTGAACTCATCATCAATGTAAAAAAAAATTCAGTGACTGCAATAGTACAAAATTAAATAGTATCAAATATTTCCATAAAAGCAATCCTTCATACCAATAAGATTGTAATCTTAAATATATTAGTAAAATTAAACAATTAACATCTTCACCAATAAATTAAAACCTGTAACAAGGAGCAGAGCAGTGGATAGAGCTATTGAAAAAAAAAAATGGTGGCAGTGTTTGAATCTCAAATTGGCTCAAAACCTATGTAACTGCTGCCACAACTTAATCATCTCAAATTAATTAGTTATTCCTATTCAACATTAAAATACTATTATTAATTAGAATAATAATAAAATACTTTTTATAAGAATGGCCTTCATTTTAGATTATTTTCACAATTATAAAATATGCTATAGGTAAAATACTTGATGTTTATAGAAATTGTGTACCAACATTTGAAAAATGAATGCTTAACAGGAATCCATTTTTCAACTGTATTAATTTTTTTTTTTATCATTAAAGTTAAAGAATCGATAAGAAAATTCACTAATATTTAATTACATCAGTTTTTAAAATTATTACAGATTCCATTATCTTAATTTTTATTTTATAAACAAATAAAATAATTAGCTGGAATTAAATTTCTTTTTAATTATATGTATTTATAAGAAAAAAAACACTATAATTAAATATCTTGATAACCAAAGGAGCTTGAAACAATGGCTAAAGTATGATTTTGAGACCCCTATGCTTCTTCATCAAAATTTGGATATGAGGCTGTGTTTTACACACAATATAATCTCAGTTATTAATTGTATCATTAGATTCAATATAATTTCAATGTTATGGAAAAATAAAGAACAATTATAAAAATAAACATGTGTATACAAATTTATTAAAATATTGAATCACAACCAAAGTTAGAACGTAATTAAAGAGGAAATAATCGTATTCAATTCGATGTAATTTATGGGTCCAGGTATTTGTCACCTGTTATTGCCCAATCCCTTACATTTATATATTATTTTCTAGTTTTTAATACAAAATTGAGTTATGTAATAAGGTTTGACGCCTGTAGATCACAGAACGCGACTTGCGATGTCTTTATACAGGAGGTAACTGCCCACCTCCGAAGGTGATCCCCCCCTCTCAAGAAGATTTATTGCTCTCCTCTACTTAAAAACGCTGCAATTGAAAATAATGCCACAAAAATTGTAGCTTAGTGTTTGACTTTGTAACTAAGGCTGCAAGTCCTTTTCAATCGAAACATTCAACAAAATCAGGAACCCTTCCAAAAATCTTTAATCTCGTTACTATATGCCCCCTCAAAAATCTATTACCCCGTGAAAACGTGTCCCCTTCACAAATTTTGCGCCCTATAACCTTTTTCAGGACATCCTTGTCTTTGAATCGTTCTCTTAAATAGATCCCGTTCTGTGTAACAGTTATAGTGAAATAGATAAAGGCTCTTTCGCTGAGTGCGATATATCTCGGTGTAACGATATTTCTTTCGGCGGCGATATGTTGTATAGTTGTATTACTATAGAAATTATAGTTTAAGTATAGCAGCCCCACAGAGCGCGATAATGACTAAGGGTATGGCAGTAAGAGTTCTTTTTGTAGGAGTCTTGACAATACAACTGGATTCCTAGCTAGCCGCAGTTCAAAATCGCTTAACGCATTTTGTGTGAATGAGCTTTCTGGCACAAAACTCGATCTAGGATTTCACTATATGGCTCACTTTGATATATAGCATTCTGTGTAACTGTTTCGATATGATAGGTAGTAATACTCGTTGGTCAGCCGATAGCCAGCAGATATTGCAGATCGCGTTCTGTTTTTCTGAGCTTTTACAGGTGCACTTTAATAATAGGAATAATTGGGAAAAATTAATATATTGTGGAGGCAAGACATAATAAAATAATGTTAGTCACTTTATTTATTTAGTGGAAGTATGAATCGTTCAATAGCAATATTTTTACATTTTTTATTCAAATAAAAGTTCATCATCTTTTACTAAACAGAAATGTTAACAATTTTAATTTAGTAATACTTTATTTTGAACCAATGATTTTTTCGAGACTTTTATTTACTTAAATTTATATCAGGAGTTGGTCGGGGGAGGGGGGGAGGTGTGGTCAAATAAATATTAATTTTTAAAAATATAGTATTTATTTGACCGCACCCCTTGACCAACTCCTTCTCATATTATATCACAGTCAACCATCTCTACATCATTTTAAATTTATATCCATAATGGACTAAGATAAGGGGGTTCCTATGGGGATCTTTACTATGTTTCTAATAATATATACAATTTTCAGGCTCCCAAACTGTTTTAACTAAGAGACCATAAATTTAATATTTCATTTAAATTTTTGTTCAATTATTTCAAGATTTTTGGACCTCTTCGGTTATTCCCTTAAATCTTTCATTCCTAAAGTTGAAATATATCAAGAACTCAAGTTCTATATTCAGGTCCTTTTCTGCCCAAGTCACTGGTGGATCTATGGAAAGTGGTGGTGTAGAGGGACGTCTTTCAAGCTGAACCCTCCAAAACAAAAGAATATATTTTTTCATCGGTTCATATTTGTTTCTATTAGCTAAATACTCAAAATATGTACTCTTTTTAAATAATAATACATATACCTCTAATAGACCTTCAAGGAGCTATTGAACGACATTTTGTATAGTTTCATTCTTATTTCTTTTAGAGTATTGACTGTTAAAACAAAAAAGTTATTTGTAGTCACTGCCAAATTTGATAAAAAAATAGATAAGCAAATCCTAAACACTAAAACAATAGACCCGTTTCATCATCCTAGGAATGAAAGTTTCACATTCAAAAAGTATTTTAAGTCACATCTTTTTAGAACCATATGAAGTTTTTAGAGGCAATATTTATGATACCTATCTATTTTTTTCTTAAAGTTCATTTCAAGACTGATGGCGCAACAAGTATTGCAATATACATGTAAAACGAGTTTTTTTTTCAGTACTTTAAGAATGTTAGTCTTGGGTTAAAGAAATTTTTATATTATATAACACTTTTTCAATATTACTATATAAAGAGATTTTTTAATATCATAACTATGAAATCAGAATCAGAATTAAAGACTTGGGGATCAGGAATAGAATGAAAAAGTAGGAACTACCTTTAATTTATGATTTCAGTGTAGACTTACTTTTACATTTACTTAGAATAATTATACCTATAGCGATCTGTATCACTTAAATAAATCTAGACCTTTAAACTTCCATCAACAAGGTGATTCATACTAATATGGATGTTCTATCACACAAAGAAACAATCAGGTAAAAATATATAATAATTTATTTACATTTGAAAAATTACAGTAAAAATTTACAAATATACACAATTCAATAAAAACAGTATTAAACTTCTACAAATATTCTAAATGTTATTTTAACATTAACTGCTTTGATTTATCTATGAATAGGTCAAATATCCTTACAGAATAATCTATAGAACATGATGCTAGTTGCAATACCGAACATTCATTGATTTTAGATATATTTTTAACAGGACGAAATAATAGTCTTTCTATCGAGAGATGGTGACCAACAAACTTTGGAATACATTTATATAATGTCCAACCGCTTAAACACCAAAAATATATAGAAATATCACCACATTCATGTCCTACTGCAACAAAATAGTTTTCTTTATCAACTATCACAGGTCCAAATGCAACAGCAGTTACAGACCCTTTATCAGAAACCAAGGTACCAACCGGTTTTCCATTTTCCCATACAATGGCTTTACAGTCACGAGAACCCGTTACGAAGTAAAGCTCATCATGAGACCAACTGCAAGACCAAATAATGCGTGAATGAATATTTTTTTCTGGAACAGCATGAAGAACATATTTGTCATTTTCATCTTTTTTGAAAAGGCACCATTTCCTATCCCTTGAAACAGACAATAAACATAAATCTGATGGAGAAAATTCCATTTGTGTAATGGTCAATTGATGTCCTTCTAGAGTGGCAACAATTTTCCAAGATTCAGTGTCCCACAATAAAATTTTGGCCTGATCAGTATTAGTTGCTTTAGCAGCTGTAGCTAGAATTTTACCATCATGGGAAGCTGTAGCAGTAAAAACATCATTCCCATGACCATACAGTTTCATGGCTTCAGGCCACAATGTGTGTTGTATCAAAAAATCTTCATTAATAATATTAATTTTAGTAAACTCATTTGATGTAGGAATACTGATATTGTTACTATTTTCGTTACTATAAACTGCTTTATTTGATAGACCAAGAGCAGTAATGGATCCAGCTGATGGTAAAGTACTCGACTGATCAGACTTTTTTAAATCAGAGCAACAAAAACTATTTAACAGCTTTAAGACTACATCAGATACCTCAAAAACACGAACAACCTTTTCTTCTGAGCATGATGCAAAACTTAAATTTTTTAGAGATGCAATAGATGTTAATGAATGTCCATGTATTTGAGGTCGAGACAATTCACACCACAAGTTTACAGAACTAGAGTCTTTTTTAAGCCCAGGAGCATGAAGACGAGTAGTTTTATCTGAACTAACTGATAATAGATAATTACCATCTTCTTCCCAGCTCAAATCCATTACTGCATCACTATGGCCTCCTATAGTAAAATCTGCAAGCCACTTATCTTCCTGCTTCTGCCATATATGAAAGCTTCCTTGGTAAGAATGCACGATAATAGACAATCCATTTGGAGCAAACTTACCTCCATAATATCCTAAGCTATTATCACCTCCCATTTCTCCCATTCTCGATTCTTCAATCCAGACACCCGAAACAGAACAAGGTTTCCATACAACAACAGACCTATCAAATGAAGCAGTTAAAAGACGACAATCATTGTCACTTGCTGTTTCTGAACACCAATCTACACTATAAACCCAACCTTCATGCCCAAATAAAACAGTTTCTAAAGATAAATAATACCTATTATTTTCTAGTAAAAATTCATCCTTTTTTACATAAAATTCATCATTGTTGCTTTCTGTATTACGCTGGCTAAGTCTTAAAATTCTAACTGTCATGTCTTGGCCTGAACTTGCTACAAATATATCCCCATCCTTCAAAGATTTCATAGATATTGACCTAATCCAATCTTCATGGCCACGAACATTCACAAGAGAATGTGTAGCTTCTGGTGAATCTCCAACAGAATAAAATATGAGTTCTGGTGTATCTGTTCCAAAAGCAAGAAGAAATGAATTAATATTGTCTATTTCTAGAATATCCAAACTAAATGCAATGCTTCTTTCAAGGTCAATTACTTTTAGGCAGATACAAATATCTTCATTATTGCTTTGCCAAATACGAACTGTGTTATCTGAGCCTGCAGAAGCTATCACAGTCTTTGACTCATTACATCTACCATCAACAGAATGAACTGATCCTTCATGACCAGTTAACGTGCATTTAACTTCATAAGTAGGTTTTTTCTCACTATTGAAACGCCATATAATTACATTAGAATCTGTAGATGCTGAAACTAATTCATTCTTAGCACCACATTTTCCTCTGATCCATTTCACTGCATTAACATTGTCTTTATGTTCAGATAAAGTTGATATGATTCTACATTCCGACGGATCATAAACAGCAATAGCATTGCAAACTCCAAAACATATTAAATTATTTTCACCCCAATCTAATATTTGTGGTGATTTGTTACAACCAGAACTTATATACGAAGCAATAATTGAGTCATCCATGATTTTAACATAAAGAATTGCTGTAGATTAAAAGTCTTAAAATGAAATTTATCACATTTATTCACTTAACTGCACAGTTAGTATCACCACGTTTGACTTTATAACCTACCCATCAAATTTTAAATTTTCGTAAGTGCTACTACCTACAGGACATTGGAAAAACTATCTTCTTTCATTATTGCTCCATGAAATAAATTATTGGATCTATTGAGTTAATTTACAATGCAAAAGTTTATTTATTTGTTTTTTTGCAATAAAATTTCCAGCCAAAGCTAATGCTTTGAACATTTTTCTACAGTGCATCAATATTTGATTGCAACAATAACAGCTTTGGTAGGAAGTAATTAAATGAATAAACATGTATCTTTCTAATAAATGTTCACACAAAAATTATACTCATCTGAATTCAAAATAACTAAGTTTTTTTTTTGCTTAACTCCAATATGTTAAAAATAAAAACTCCCTGACATAATATCTAAGAATAGCTTATTAATAGGAAGTCATAACAGCATTACAAATTTAATTTTCTTTCCAGGTTCAAATAAGGTTGAAACAACGGGCAATTATATTATTTATGTAAAAGTAATTATTATTAAAATATAAATTTTATTTTATTTTTTACTTCTAAATTCTTGAAATAGATTACTGAGAAAAACTATTTCTTACTGATTTATTATTTTTACTCTAAATTATCAGGCAAATCTGATTACTGTGAATCCCAAACATGAAGTATCAATTTTTCTTATTAAAATTAATAAAACAAGCATTTATACAATAATTTTTGTTTTTGTCATTATTATTTTAAAAGAGGTTTGGACAAAGGTCTCCAAAAAAATTTTTTCTTCAATATCCATTAATAATTGCCAACAGTTTGGCTTTATGAGCCAATTTAAAGTATTAAATGCCATGCATTTCAATAGATTTGTTTCATTTTTTAACAAAAATCTTCCTTCTAAGGAATTGTGGGTCTTTACCCAATTTTGTTGATATCAAGGATTTGTCGAGTGCTTTTTTGGCTCTTTATGTACTAATTTCATTTCATTAAGTTACTTGATTTTCAAACAATTTCCCAAGGATTCTTTTCATTTCTGTACTCCCTTTATAAAGGTCAAAGTGCTAAATGGAATATAGAAGGACATTTTATGTGATAATAATGAATATTTAACATTTAGTTTTTCAGAGAATATACCAAAGATTTTAAAAAAGTTATTGAATGCAGATTGGGTTGGTGAGTAGTAAGCGTAGCATGATAATAAAGCAAATATATCTCTAGATTTTTGATAAAATATACTCTGAATTGTTATTTTAAATGTTGAGCTCCGATGTGTTTTTCATTTTATTTTCCTCCGACAGTATAACAATTAACAACAAAAATGAGAATAGTTACAGTAATAATTTTCAAGTGCAGGTCATATTTCCTGAAATCGTAGAATGAAAAGACATCAAAAGAACTTGCTTGCATTAAACTAATTATTATTGTCTATTGCTTTGATCTTTAACAAAATCTTGATTGAAAATAAAAATATCCTCAACAAGTTGTTTAAATACTTTAAATTTGAAGAATTATCCAATTATATTTATCACTAATCATATAAAAGTAATCAATAATCAATCAATTGTATCAGACTAACTACTTTATTCATATATAATTCAGTAATAAAGCAAAATTATTCACAAACAAAATTAATAGTTATTATTTATAATAAATAAATTTTTCCTCTATATGTATTTGTTCTAGGTGAATAAATGATTTTTCCCTATAATTGATAAATTTTCCCAATATCTTAGGTGAGCAACCTCATTCAGTTTTTGAAATTTTAAAATATAAAAACCCTCCAAGGCGTCTGAAAAGAAGAAGGCCTTGTGATCTACTTATGTAAATATATTATTAGAGCGCTGCCAATGGGCAGCAACTGTTTTCATGTGATTGTATTATTACTGTATGCACATTTACTAGTTGTATTTTTTTATAATACAGTTGTAAATATCAATGAATAAAAAAAAAAAAAAGAATATAAAAATAAATTTCACTCAGAAGAAGTGTTTGTATTGTTAGATTTTAGAGAATCTAGAACATACTATATTGTTAAAAAGAAAAGTAGAAAAAGTTAGAAATTCAATGAGTTTGAATGAAATGAGAAGGGCTATTAATGAAGTTTATTAGTCATTGCATTAATGAAGTTTCAGAAATAGTTGATAGGTTGCCTAGGTGATATGGATTAAACAACATTAAAAGTGCGGTAACTTGTCTCTTTCTATTTTGATACCTCGTTCTTTATTTAAATGAATAAATAAATAAATGTTTTCAAATATTTTAAAGAAATATCAATTAATTAAATAAAACAAACTCCATTCATATATACAGGCAAAGAGAACATACCCATTTTTGTATATTGTTGTAAAAATTAGCTGTTAAATTGCTCATTTTCAATAAGCAAATACCTGAAGAAGTCTAAAAGTAGAAGATTATGAAAACTTCATTCGGAGAGCTGAAACTTTTTTTTGGACATACATATGTATGAAGACAACAAGGACTTTATGTTTAATTCGGTGACCTAAAGGTTGGTGCTAATTATTTTAAATAATCACATTTTAGATAAATATCAATGGGTTAAGTTTTAATGATAAGTGACTAAACATCGATCATTTATGTCTGTTGTAGTTTCTTTACTTGTTCTATCAGAATCTAATTATCATCATTACTTTTAGTTACTAGAAGTACTCAAGTTTTCATGTTTTGTCAGAAATTAAGTAAATCATAACGGAATTAAAATTAAGAATAATTAATCAAAGTAACTAGATAGCATATCACATCATACTTTCTTTATTTAACATAAATTATTGAACTATAGCAATTCTCATTTTTGTGTTTCCTCTTTTTCCACCTGCATTTTTGTTAGTACTAGTTGTAAATGGTTCAGCCTACAAATTTGCTACTTGCTTTTGATTGAAGTATAAAACTCTTTCAATGAGAAACTAATGGTTATTTGATGAAAGTATATTTATGTGCAATCAATAGCAGAGATAGATTTTAATTTTGGGGGCTTTATGTAACGGAAATCCCTAAACTTGTCAAAATACACTCCCCTAAAGTATTTAAAACCCCATAAAAATGTACCTTATGCACCTTTATTTTCTAAGGATCAACAACACTAAAAAGTGATAAGTTGTTTTTAAAGAGGAAGAATCGTTCAATTTATTCCATTATTAGTGACTATTTAATTGCAACTGTGAATTTTAAATATTCCTGGGAACAATTTGAGAAAATTAAATTTGCTGATGTTTTTTATTGTCTAAGCCAATTATTCTATAAGTTTTATTAATCTCTGACTATCCTGCTTTGGTAAAAGGCCAATTATTGCATAATTAAGACAAATGCTAATGACCAAAAAAAAAACTCAAGTCAAATTTTATAGTCTGCAATTCATCAATGCCATTTTGGGCCAATATGGCAGACTTTTTTATTTATTTATTGTGTTTTTATTGTTTTTATTTTAATCTATTTTTTAACATTATTTTATTTTTATTTATTTTTTGCTAATTTAATTTTAATTATTTTATATTTATTATTGTTATTTTAGTAATGATTTTATGAAGGAAAAAAATCAAATTTGATGAAATTTCCAGGGATCATACAGGATAGAATCAGCACTTAAAAAACATTAGGGGAAGGATTAAGGTTAGCAGTCTTAGACATTTGGCGCCCCCATACAATAATATCATGTTCCCCAAGAAATTAAATTTATTTCTTGAGATGATATTTGAATAATATTTCATTTAGCATATCTCTAATTCATTTGCTTTATTATAGGCTAAAATGTTATGTAATATAACTATTATTCATGCAGTTTATTGAACTTTATGTAAAGAGCTCCTTCCACGGACAATATTATTGAAGCAATATAATTGAAGGATCCTCCCCCTCTCCCCCAAATATTGAAGTAAAATAAAGTATTACCCACCTGCCCAAACATATTGCTATTTTTTCTTTAAAAAAAAAATCGGGGTAGGAGAGGTTAAACCTTCTCCCTCCCCTTAGAAAAAAGTAAAACAAAGTATCACCTCCTACTTAAACATATAACCAAGAGGGGCACTGGAAATTTGGTATCACCCAGAGCTTCTCAAGATCCATACATTTGGTTTAATGTTGCTCAATATAGCGCTTAAGAGTGCAATTATATTGACACTGTTTCAATAATATTGAAAAGCTTTCATAAAAAAAAAAATTGATATCAACCAGTTTGATTGACGTCAATATAATTTATGGCAATGTAGCCCTTACAAGGTCAAAATATTGACGAAACTCGATATTGACCGTGTAGGGAGCCGTTCAGATATTTTGAGTAAATGACTGAGAAACATTGGGGGAGGAGCTGGCCCAGATTCGAAAAATATTGAAGGGACAAAAAGTGTTTTACTCCCTTCCCACAATACCGGCGCCTATGCCATGCGGGTACCTTCATGGTTCCACATCAATTTTATTGGATCCCTTCAACTACTTACTCTGACGCACGCGCAAACGTATTTTCCTCAACCTGCTAATATATCAAAAAATGTTTGTCTGATATGGCCTAAAGTTAGGGAATGCTGTAGAAATGATTCAGTATCAATATAATATATCTATATATCCCCAAATATATTATTACAGTATGGTTCGAAATCGGTTTTGTACCAAATATAAGCTCCTATCATGCTCAAATACCATGAATGGGATACAGTTGGATTCAGAATTTCACGGAGGTTTAGTGAATCGTACTCCCCGCTTTTGTTTTTCTTTCTAAAATAAATAAAGTCGATACAAACATTTTGCTAGGCTTCAATCCTGGAACGGAGTAAGTCTGTATATTGATACCGGACAAATTGGGCTTTGAAGATTTTGATGCGTACACCAAGACCTGCGTTTTTAAGTCCAAAAACCTACTATTTTAGATATTAGATAATGCAAGATAAAGGGTTCGGAGCCACACAACCTTACGTTAATTGTGGTACTGTCATGGAATACATGTCTCATTTCGTCGACTTCAGGTCCATGTGATCGAGAGAGGAGGAGTTTATATTGTTTATCAAAGATGTTTTTTTGTCGGTAGGTCGTATCATCGTTAATTCTTCATCAAATCCACAAGATTGAGTCACCAATTTTGAAGGTTTTCTTCTCCTTCAGGTGGGGAAAAATTGTACAATCACCAAGAAAATTCAGGCAAAAAAGTTATGAAAGAAAAAAAATTATTTGCGAATAACTCAAAAATTAAACACCTTTCTCTTGGTTATATATATTAATACAAAATATTACTAAATTCCCTACAAAAGGAAAAAAAAATCTTCGAAATCCGACAATTATGATCAAAAATACAGCTTATAGAACATGTTGGTATAGAACATGTAAACATGTTGGTTCCAAGCTTTAATATTTGTTTGCTTTATCGATTATATTTAGCGATAAAATAACAATTGATTTCTTTTATGATACTTTGAATTACTTTCTTTTATATTAATTTACTATTTGATTATTGAACAATATACTTTGCGAATTTTTGCACGGGTTTACTAGTAAATATAATTTCTCAAAATAAGTAAAATAAACAACCAAACTATTAAATTTGATTTTTCTTATAGATTGTTGTACACTTTTTTTGTTCGTTAAGTACTCAATATTAATGGTGAGAAAGCTATATATCAACTTGGGCGTTATTATAAAAATTTAACCGCTAACATAAGAATATTTAAGAGATCATTTAAAATTATTAAATTAAATTAATTGCATTTAGTAGTGAAACTATAATTATTTTAAAGCATATCTGGGTAAGTGAAGTAACATATTTAAATGTAATTTTTAATATTGATTTAATTATTCATTCTAAACAGCCACCATAATGGTTCATCAGCACAGAAACTTGCCGCTTGAAAGGATCAACTATTAGATATATGAAGTTCTGGACATGAAATGGTGCAGTGGGGCAAAGAGGTTTTCCGTCTTCTTGGTAGGCAATCACCTTGAATACCACAGATCTAACCCTTATATCGGATGAACCTTCAACTCTCTCCACGCTTGAAAAAAAAAAAATAATAATAATGAACAATATTACAAAATAAATGTACGTAAATATATCAATTAATATTAATCATAATTTACCTCATAAGTTCTTTATAAATATCTTTTGTGGTTTGTAAATATGGTTGGATATTGAAATCGCGTTGACACCATTCACCACCGAGATATATGTGTTTAAAAATGTTGAATAAAAACTCGTTTCTATCGCTTATAGAATATAGATTATAAAGATCGTGCTCTTCAATCAATATCATCTGTGAACACAAAATAAAAAAAATTAAAAAAAAAACAATCTCCTGATAAAACCAATTAATTGAAATTATATAATATCAAGAGTTTTTTTCCCTTCTTCTAATTGGTAACTCACGGCCAAAATATTGTCGTCAATGAAGAACCCTTCGCATTTGTCTTCATAGCATTGTCGTATCTCTCCACTAGACCTGGTCAGATTATTTGCAGGGTCCAAGATACGATCGAAGAACGCCATCGATGTCAGCGTCGCTGCCAATGGCTCATATTCCACTTTGGACGCTGGAACGCCTTCCAAGAAGAACATGAAAAAATAACCAATTTTTTTAATTATGTATTTTAAAAATATAAAATAAAAATCTTTTAATAAAATAAGGATTAAAACTGTTGGTACTCTGTGAGTTTTTTCACTTAGAGATTTGATTTCCAAGCTGCAGAGCCATTTATAGTTATTTATCCCAGTTGTTGATAAATTTAGTAAAACTCAGCGTTCGTTGATCGTGGTTGTCAACCATTCAACTTAACCAAATTATAAAGTTTAGATTCATTCGACGCACAATCTAACGTTCTTCAATTTCTCAAAGAATACGTTTTTTGCTTCGATGCACCATTTAGAAGTTATGGGTGATGAAAAAAAGCTGCCTTTTTTGGCTGTAAAAAGTTTTCCCTTGGTGACTCGCGTTTTTTATATTTTTAAACCCATGTATACAAGTTAAAAAAAAAACTTTTATCACATTATTCGTAATAAATTTTCCATTTCGATCCTCAAATTACTGGCCAAATATTCTTTTAATCAACCACCATTTTTCAGTTAGCATGATCCGAGTGGCACATTCTCATTTTTAAAATATAAATGGTATGAATATTCAAAAAAATAATTTCAAAATTTACATCAGATAACGCTGATTTTTTTGCAGGACATCTCGGACTATTAGGAGCCGAGAAATAAATTATTTTACATAATTAAAAAAAAAAATGTATGCCATTCTCTTTTTCCTTCGCTCTGTCCGTTTTATATTATATATATTATTTTGTATCAATCAATTTATTTTTTTTTTAGTATAGAACAAGAAAAAATATTTCCAATACTATTGAAAGAGTTATAATGCATCATCAATTACGCAAACAAATAGACGCTTGCTAGTAAAGTAGTCAAATGTTTGTTATTGAAAAACAAGTAAATTCATTTTTAGTATCCTTTGGAACCCTTAAATGTGAATTTTTAGAATTAGAATTAGAAATTAAAAAATACACAGTCTTGGACATGGTTTTGAGGAAAGATAAACTATCAATTAAACGGTCTCAGCTAGGACATAAAAACCTTAAATACACAAAATTCTCTGTTAATATTCGCTGATAATCTTGTCTATGTAGTAACCAATGACCGAAATCTCCATTACAATATTAAGATCAGCTAAAAAGAAGTGACCGGAATGTGTATGAAAATCAACCCGGGAAAGAAGTAATGCATGCATATAGGAAAAATAAGGATAATGATGAAAATAGAGAGAAGGATGGTGAGAAATTAAAGCAGGTGAATAATTTCTGTTAATGAAGGTCGGGGTAGCCGAGCGAGCTAACGAGTGTATTCAGCACCCGGATAGATGATAAAATAATACAGAGTTCGCGTCCCGGTGCCAAGGGGGGCTTGTAACTTAAGCATTAATCTCCCGCCTATACCCCCTGGCCCGGGAAACCTCCGTATAGCCTAAAAGACGAGAAAGTGGAAGACCAAAAAATAAAATAAAAGAAATAAATAATAAAAGAAAATCTGTTAATGAGAATATTAAATGGAATATAGGAATGAGTCGGGAAAATAATGTTATTTGAACTAAAGGGAAGATATACTCTAATCCGGTATATGAACTGGTTATATGAAGTCATCTTGAAGAATCGAGGGCAAAGATACCGTTTTGTTTCCCCCCTCCTTCCAATGTTTCGAAAAACAAAAATAAAATAAAAATCAATAACAATTAATTTACATGAATAGACAAAATATGTGAACTAAAATTAATTAAGGAAATAAAAAAAGTCGACTAGATGGCTGATCTAAGGCATAGAAGTAGATACACAAGTATTTTACGAGACCCTATGTTCCTATTATAGAAATTCTACTTTTTATTAAAAAATAATTATATTTAGGAACATATCCTAGGGTTTTGTGATTCATTCATAGGCACTCTTCCATGTTTACGTCAAGATTTTATCACATATTGTATTGACAATTCATTACTCAGCCACAAACATTTAAATAGAAAACTATAAATATATAAATTTATTTAATTAATTTAACAGTCAGACACATTTCTACTGAATGTTATGCATATGAAACACAAATGAATGAAGTTGAATTAGAGAGTGATATAACTGAAATTTTGAAAAAACACCACCAAATTGGCAAAAAAATTGTTTACATTTCTTCAAATAACGCACCTATACAACAAAATTTAAATTTTGCTGACTCTTTTTTTGGACATTTTAATGTCTTAAATATTTTGTGCATTCAATTTATTGTTAAATTCTATCTGATGTAATATAAATATTTTGTAAGGGCTAAAATGATCCGTAAGAGGTTGACGAGGCCCCCAATGTTATAAATAAATAAATCAATTTCTATATATAGTATTATATTGTTCGTTTTTCAATAATTATGTTAATTTTTTATATAATTTATATAAGCCCCCGATACTTTTTTGGAGTGTCCATCATGTGCGCCCATTACACCCTCCCCAACCAGAATGGAAAGTCTACGCCTATACCAAAACTGAAGCCGACAAACACTTTCTTCATTCATAAAAAAATTACTAAGAGATAATTTAAACAATGACATCATCGCGGCATGTAATAAGTGACTCACAAGTTATCGGCAAGAGAATCACAATCGTAAAATCACCCCAAATGAAAGATTATCCTCACTATAACATAGTAACTCACACGTGACAGTCATTCTATAAGAAAAAAAATGTAAAATATATATATGAGTGAAACTCATATCAAAGATGGAAATCTGCTATTTTTAAAAAGTTGAAGAAAAAAAACGCTAATTTTCGCAACAGACTCAATTTAAACCAATTCTAATGATTGTTTTTCATGATCTAACTTGAGCATTCTTAGATAAAGTGGTCAAAAACAGTTTGAATTGAACCTCTAAAACAAAAAATTGTTTTTTTATCCATTTTCTTCAAATAACAGATGTCCATCTTTGATATGAGGCCACTCATTTAGTTATTTTAATCATGTATCTTACGCAAAGTGAAATATTTAAATACATGATAGAAGACCACAGGTGTTACAAAATAATTTATATAAACAAACATCCGATTTTCTGCGGAAAATTAGGAAACTTAAGTTTTGTGTTTTTTAAGTGTCACGCTTTTTGTCGAATAGGAAGCAACAACTGAACAAATATTTAGTCAAACTTGTATGTGTGTGTGTGTGTGTGTGTCTAGTTTCCTTTTGTAGATAAATGATATTTTGTTTTTCTTGTACTTTTAATGATTGTATGATTGATAATTTATTTTTTCATTTATATCTTATGTAGGTTTTTTATGAGGTTTTTCTTATTGTAAAAAAATGGATTTCAATTTTCTAAATAACATTCAAACCACTAGTATGTCATGTGTAAGGTTACTGCAACCACAAACATGTAATTTATCATTATAACATGATGTAATGTATATAAAAAAAAAATATTAAAAAAAATTAGTTAAAGCCATTGATAATTTCTTAATAGTAATAATAGGGCTTAGCGAACCCGAAGGTTCGATTCTGATACCAACAATCAGACGCAGCCCTCGCCAGATCAGGTATAACGAAATCTTGTAACCTTCGCTTCGGTCCCATCCCCGGACACTTACCACTCGGCACAGCGCATTTTCTTAATATTAAACTAGACAAAATTTATTGTATGTGCTAGTTGAGTTTATCTTTGTTAAATTTATTTAAATGAGACTTTTAAGTATGCAAATTGTATTTTATTTTTCATAAAATCATTAATTATTCGAGTTTTTTTTTTGTTTTTTTTTTATCACTCGCCAACTCAAGTAGTTATCCTACTTTTAGGAAAACTTTCTATTTTAAGAATCTTAAAATTCATATTAATTAAATCGAGATTCGTTATGGAATAAGTTGAGACTCACCTCTTTTAATGTATAAAAATGATAAGATTTGATATTCTGTCATTCCTAAATACTAAATATTCCTTATTATAATATTAACGTTTTCATGAAAATAATTCAAGCAATTGGTTAAATGAATAAATTCTAAGATTTAGATAATTTACGTAAAGGTAATTTCAAAATTATTTCGCATGTCCCTGATATAATTTTTGGTACCCTAATTCATAAATCTTCGCTTTTACCGACTTGATCTACATCTTGGTATAATTTCGCACATTACCACATTCATCATACAAATTAGTTTATGAACAAACACACACACTCAAATGTATATATAGTAACTAAATGGCTAACTAAATAAGTAACAAAATGACCAAGAGACAGAACATTCGAATTTTTCTAATAATAACCTAACATTTTTGTTAGGTTATTATTAGAAAAATTCGAAACCATATGCTCCAAATTACAGGCAAAGAAACAACCCGTCAACGTTTCGCCAATCCAGGCATCATCATCAGGACATACGGAGGAGGGGAAGAGAGGACCTTTCGGACTTAAGCCCTCCATCCAAAAAAATGGTAAAATATAACCAAGTTTTATGAAAAAAGTTATTTCTAAAAGTATTATTGTTCGTCTAATTCCAGTTAATAGGACTTAAAGACCATTTCATACAAGTAGTTAGTTTCTTTCTTTCTTCGGAAGTAATTATCCTAATATATTTATATAAAAAAAATCTTTCTGGTTGAAGCCCTCTCTCACTCAAAAATTATATCCTGGATCCGTTAGTCGGCATCATGAGGACTGGATATAATAGCTAACCGAACATCGATCCATGAAATCCAAATGGATACTCCATTGCAATTAATAGAGTGTACGATTTGATTTCATGGAGTGATGTTCGATCAGCTGTTTTTTTCTATCTTGATGATGCCTCAATTGGTGAAACGTTGACGTGTTCTTCTTTACTAGCATTTTGGAGACATAAGGCTGTGTGGTTCGGAATCGTTCCAATAATAAACTAATATATATCTATATATATATTAGAAGTGTTATTATTACCAATGGGACTCCATCCAGAACGATGAATTTCTAGTGTAGAAATCACAGCAGGATCTTTAAAGAACGCCTGAAATGTAAAAATTAGATAAATGACAAAGAATTGTTAAAATTATTCCAGTTAATTTACCTCAAGTTTTGAGAGAATAAAAATCTAAAATAAAAATAACAAATAAATAAAATATTACACCAATATTACAACATTGTAAATGTCGTGCGGAATAGTAATAAGAACAATTGAAGGCACTAACGAATTATTTCTAAAACTTTGTTAATACAAGATGATAATCGGAACTAAATTAACATTTAATTTGCCTTTACCCTCTTGTTTCTAACCTTGCTTCCTCTTTAATTCCTGATAACCCTCTGAGGCGTCTGAAAAGGAGATGGCCACGTGATCTCCTAATATAGAGAGTGCTACCAATGGGTAGTTTCTCAACATGTGTTTCATGTCATTATATCCATGTGAGAATTTACTAGATGTATTTTTTTTATACAGTTGTAAATATCATATAAATAAAAAAAAAATAAAAAAATTTAAAAAAATTGTATTTTGGTGTAACGCTGAGTTAGCGAGTCGGAAAAGAAGAAGGCAGACTTGTTGATGTTTACACATCTATTGTGTGATTCAAAGCTCATCGCAGTTCTTTTTTGTTTGTTTAAAAATCGAGATACGAGTAGATGTTTCATGTGATTTTTTTTTTAAATATTCCAAATAATTTTGGATATCTTTTAATTATTTGTTTATATAGTGATTACGAAATACTTTTGATGATGTTATAAAAACTTAATAATAAATTAATCTTCTTTTTCTTCATCCGCATCTGTCATAGTAGTGACAATTAGCAGATTTGTTGTTACGTTAAAACAAAAATGGCACGAAAGGCATGATGAAGAATATCTCTGGTATGTTTACATCCTGAAATTAGAAAAGGATATCTCTCATCAAGCTCTTTTTCAGTCGCCTCCTGATGAATATGTCAGCCGTGGCCATGTCGTCGATAAGTCCGTTTTGATATCCGTGTAGTTTAAAATGAAATCGGGAGTAGAGAATACGTATATGCTGTTCATTGGTTGTCTTACGTCGGTTGTCTTGGCGTACCAGGGGGCTGCAGTTATTAATCTTAAAATTTTAGATTGAAAATATTACAGTTTTTGTGAGTCTTTTTTGCTGAACCGTAAATCTGGGTGGCGTATTTCCAAATGAGTTTTAGCAGATAAGTGTATTAATCAATAAATTAATTCAATAAACCATTGTGCAATAATTTCAAGCGGTTTTTTTAGTCTAACAATTGGCATGAATATGTCAAAAAAATTAACTTTTCCGTAAAAGCCATCGATGAATGTGGAACAAACATCTTTTGTCAGCAGATGCTCTCAAGGTCTGCTTGTACTGCTGAATAGCCGACTTTAACTTACAATTAATTTCTTATTTTGCCTCGCTTGCTTCTGAAAAATCGAATGTTTGATAAGACCTTTCTTTCTAAACGATTACATTTATTTTCTCAGAAATGGATATATTGTTGACTGTTGAATTTGTAAGTAACATTACATCCACAACAGTTCATTTATCATATCGGTTAATATGAAAAATCTCAAAAATTCAGAGCAAGCATTAGATATAACTACCATCCCTGGAGGTACACTTCTATCATGTGTGGATGCATGAGAATATGTCCCTTCTGAAAGCTACTTGGTTAATAGGAAATTAACTCCGGAAGAAGTGATAAAGTATTAAACGGGTCAAGTTGGACGAAAGTAGCGCAGTAAAAAACTCAAAACAAGCAAAAAGACCAAACAAAGGATAAAAAATGTATACTTTTTATTAACATAATCTATTAAAAAATAAAACTAATAATTTTTAATTTATAAATTCATAAATTTATTATAATTTCTTCAATAAATAGTGCAGCGTCTGCACAGATCATGGGCCGCGGACTTTTAATTTTGGTTGGAGAAGGGGGGGGGGGGGGGAGGGTAGAAGGCGATGAACAACAAAAAAAAATTTTTGAGTTTTTATCATGTGTAAAAATTCAACATAATTATTGTGAAACGAGCCAAAACAATATTGAATATTTAAAATTAATTTGTTTATATATTTGTATAGTTTATTTTGTTTTACTTATTATTTATACTTGAAAATATCTAAAAAAAAAAAAAAAACTGAATATATAACATTGGTCCATTTCTAGAACTTTTTCAGCCGACTATTTTGTCTCGGAAAACGTAAGTCATAACGAAAAGAAAACGTAAATTTTGTCACGTAAAGTCATAAAATCCTAGGACATGTTAATGTTGATTTTATTAATGGTTTATGGGTTTTCTTATTAAGTGTATAATATTGAATAAACCACAAGCCTTTTTTAAACTAAGCAAAATCAATCTTTATTAATCTATCAACACAACTTCATAGAAAGAACAGGGTTATAACTAAAACATCTGTTTTATATATTTCTTTTTTTTTTTTAATTCATATAATCGATATTAATAAAATTACTTTTAACAGTTAATACATATTATTTATTATCTTTGAATATAAATGAAAATTTAAATAAAAGTAAAATTTAGGTATGAATGAAATAGTTACGTAGGCCCTAGCCTAGTAAGCTTATCGACTTTTCTTAATCGATTTTAGTTTACACATTTTATTCATTCATGTAGCTTATTTATTATTGATTTTATATTTTTTTGCCTTAAATTATTAGGGGAGAGGGCAAACGATATTCTAGGCCCCTGAAATTTTTATTGGGGAGGGGGGGGGTGTTTACTCCTCTCTCTTCTCCTCCCCGAAGCATGCACATATAACTCAGAAACTCCACCAGGGTATTACTGCAAGGGAGTAAGGGAAATTTTATTTTTTTGTTTAATGCCTTGATGGGTTTGTAAAAACTGCGATTTTATGTTTACAACTCTAAAAAAAAAAACCTAACTTCATGCAAACAAAAATCCTTAAAATGTGCAAATTCGAGCAGTAATCCCAAAACGTGTAGTTTCTTATAAAATAAAACCAGTGTCAAAAGAATTTACTGTTCATGAATCGAATACGTCGCTGGATTTGAAGCTAGCGAAAAAAAGACGCAATTGCACAAATATCCGGTCTCTAGTTATATCAAATGGTAAATAATATGAATAAAGATTGTAATAGCAATGAATATAGCTACCTCTATTCGATGTATAATTATCAAATCTAATAAAGCGGGATATTATGAGTGGAAATAACTAAAGATGCTACTTATTGTATATTTGTATGCTTTTTATAAAAAAAATGTTTACTATATTTTGTGATTGTATAAATAAAAGCATTCCATTCATTCATTCAATATTTCGTTGTCAGATCAACTGATTGCTATTTTTACGGGCATGAAAACTATCAACATTTTAACTGTTTACGAATAGAGGAGATAGAACGGGCGGAATCACTACTGACGATTATAGCAGTGTTTTCTGAATAAAAGGAGTTATTTTTAGTTTTAAACGGAATTCCCAGTTGATGACAGGTAGATAATTTTCAGATCAGAGTTAATCACTGGTTCGTCAGAGCGTGATAATTACCATATAAAGAACATGAAACATCAGTAAATTATCAGGAGAATTCTATTACACGTAAACATAAGTACATATTAATGATATCAATATTAATTTATCAGAAAAAAAGGACCAGTTTTAATTTGAAATAAATAAAATCACAAAAAAATATGGATACAATAAAATATTAATTAAATATTACAAACCTGATACAATTACAAAAACAGCTAAAATAATTTTAAGGTATTCAAAGGTTATAAAACATAAATAAATTAAATGGAAATCGACTTTTCTACTCAGGTTGCACCTCTAGAATAACTTCCCCATACCCTACCCCATAACAATTCTCTATTATTTCACTTTAACTTACACAGTTTTTAAGAAGAGAAGAGCAAAATAAAATTTCTTATTAAGAGAGGGAACATGTGCTATCACCCTTGAGGCGATGTTCACTCCAGACAATGGCCAACCATATAGTATATATTCAAAATAAAAATATAATATAACACATTATTTATTAATGTACATTAATATGAATGTTTCTTCATCAACATTCTGACGTGTAGTTCCTAGACGCGTTACGGAATTTCTTCCTGGTGATGTCATCTAATGTATTAAAGATGAAGGTCACAGAGGAGTCAATTTAACGAGACAATTCAATTTTCTAGCTCGGTGACGAATGCTGTCCGTTTTAACCGTTATTTATGTATATATAGTATTGGATATTCAGTAGATTAATTATTATAGATTATAATATAATAATTATATGTTATAATAGAATAATTATAAATTATATAGAATCGCTTGCTGCATTGTTGTCATAGGTAAATTCTTGTAATCATATTCTGGTTTATGCATTAATCACTTTGCAAAACATAAAAACAAATAAATACTAAAGAAAAGATAATTAAATGAATGAAGTAAGTTGGCGGTCAGTCCGAGGTCAGCATTACAGCTATTGTGAATCTTTTGCCACCTTTTCCATCTCTGGCTAATTTGGGCTTTTTATTTCCAGTTACCTGCATGCAGCTGTATTGCAGCTTTGTTGTCGATCTATCCAGCTGGTTTTTGGCCTTCCACGTGGTCTTTTGACTTGTATTGGTGTGTTCATTGTTGTGCAGAGGCTTCCAAATGGATTGGTCTTAGCTACATGCCCAGCCCATCTTAAACTCCTTACCTTCATATCATGTGATATTGATTGACCAGCTTTTGTGTGTAGCTCTGAATAAGTCTTTCTCAGCCATACGTTAATATTCTGATCCCATATCGCACCGGTTATCGTTCTGTGGATTTTCTCTCAAATCTTTTGTTACTTCTACATACTACTGCGATTTTTATTTTATAAAGTTCTAAGCAAGCAAAATAAAAAATTAAAATTTTAACATATTTCTTAAAAATTATTTTTATATTAATTTATTTGTACTTATTTCACTGAAATGTTACCTAGTTTCGAACACCGGTCTAATAGTAATAGTTCTTCCCCTTGGATTTTAGTATAGACCACTAACAAATCCAGAATTTAATTTTTTTTTGGGAGGGAGGACTTCAGCTCGAAAACATTTTTTTAATTATATATTACGATAATTACTTTGGAATAAAAATAAAGAAACTAACTATCTTTATGATATTTAAAAAAAATATTTCTAAAAGCATTAGTATTCGTGTAATTACATTTATCAGGACTTCAAGAATCACTTAAATACGATTTGAGCCTCTCAGTTGAAATAATGGCTAACTCCAATTTTAACATTTTTTATTATTAATTTTAGTGATATTTGTAGTGGGAAAATGTATATCTTTATTCACAGTTCTATATTTTAATCCTGCAATCACCTACTCTGGAATCAACTTACTCACTCCACTCACTACGGATATTATAAATTTTCCAACTAGAAATACCACTAAAATGACTTAACTCAAAAATGTTGAAATTGAGTTAGCCGTTATTTCAACTGAAAGGCTCAAATCGTATTTAAGTGATTCTTGAAGTCCTGATAAATGTAATTACACGAATACTAATGCTTTTAGAAATATTTTTTTTATAAGACGTGGTAATATTTAACCATTTTGGATGGGGAGGGGATTTCAGCCTGAAAACCCCTCCCCCCTTATAGATCTGCCTATGGTATAGATGGGTAGGTATATTGAATATTTAAAAAAAAATTTATTTTGTCTAATTTAATGTTTATAGAAAGTAGACCAATAATTTATAGAAATAAATATATTTTTACATGTTTCTTTAAACTTGTTTTGTATCTTAAATAAAATTCCTATTCCTGTTTGACACATTAACTTAAAAAAAATGTTTTAAAATATAAGACTTGAGCAAATATGCTAGGCTCTGCTCTAAATTTAGTTTAAAAATACAACATTGAGCGTATGGTAGCTGAACCATTTTTCAGTAGAATTATGGATAAGAGAATGTACGAGAATATAGATAGGAAGATTTTTATTGATGAGCTCCAACTTTTAAATGTTGGTCTCAAAGTGTTGCCCAGCAGATAACATTTAGTTTTTTACATTCGAATTTTTAAAAACTAAAATATTACATATATAATATAATGATTTCGTATTATTACAACATAATATATATATTTTTTAAAAACAACAAGAAATGAGAAATAGTTCCCAAGAATAGACGAATTTAAATACCTCAGCTTAACAATAATCTCAAGGAATGAACGTAGGTCAGAAATAGACCAGCATGTAATAAGCGCTAATAGAACTTTCTTCTCTCTTTCAAAGGTATTGAAATCCCCAAAAATCTCTATTAATTTTAAATATAGAGTCAACAATGCTACAATTACGGCAATTATTGATAATAATTATTAATGTGAATAAAATGAATGGCTTTGAAAACGGCTTGGTTGTTATTTTGTAGCAGGCGGATTATTTGGTATTTGAGCTCTATGTATCATCTTGGAGTGACCTGTATCGTTGGTGTCAAATAAAAAAAAAAAAATTATCTCAAAATCACGGAGAAAATATATTGGATGGTAGACGGACGGATTTATTTATTATATGGTCCATTGAACATAAAATCTGAAATTTTGCGGATTACAGTTAATTATTTTTTTCTTGTCCGGTTTCAAGGGTTCATTATTAAAAATAGTTACCCAAAATAGCATTTTTTTCCATTTTGTATTTTTTTCTCTTGCAGTTTATTAAACAAGAATTTTTAAAGTAATCGTCTAGATTTAAAACAAAGGTTCCTGACAATGTTACTATAGAAAAATAACAGAAAAATTAAAACCGGTTATATAAAAATAACTGCACATCCTTAATTATAACAAGCAGTTGTTGTAATCCTGTTTTCACCCTATTTTATAGTAAGACCCTAAAAACATATGTATGTATACTATTGAATGCGGCATATGTAAGTAAATTACATTAGGTCGGTTTAATACTACATAAATTTCAACTTCATACAAGTTACCTATGGATATTTTCTGATAATCACTTACCTCAACAAAATCTTGTTTCTGATACGGGTGAAATTCTTGATTAAAATTGTAATACTTCAGTCTTAAATCACCTTTCATAGACCTACAAAATAACTTACATAGTGATTTGTGTTACGTTTATTTGTTTTTAAGTAAAGCTATACTGTTTTTTTAAATTAATTTTTTTAATTTATTTAAAAACATTATGATTTACCACTGTAAAAGTTTATTTGCGATTTTAGGCTGTTCCAATACTGTTTTTTTGTCTTTAAGTGGAACAAATGTGAATTTCGCGGTTTCCATTGCTTGCTTGATTTAAGAGCTATCCCGCCTTTTATTTACAATTAAAAACTTGACAATCTTCAAACCCTTGTAAATAATAAGAATTAAAAAAATACACGTTCAACTAATCGACGAGTTACATTTTACGGTACATGTTTATTCTTAGCAACCGTATTGATCACATGGGGAGAATGAATTTCATATTGTAATAATCGGTAAATAGTCTTTAAGCTATTAATTTCTGTGGTTTAATTCATTAGTATTTTTTTCTGTAACATTCTGTAGATTCAGCATGTTAAATTATTTATTTGATATAAAATGAGTTATTCTGCGACTACCCTCCTAACATTGTCCTTTCGGATGTCAAGTGAATATGGCGGCAGATCAGGAGACATTTCAGCAAATTTTAACTTCTCTTTTAAGCTCGGAAAATGAAGTTAGGACACAAGCGGAGGTCTGTAAACATTTGTTAATATGTTTAACTCATAGTCTGCCCTTCCCCAATGCGTATTATTTCGTACTTCTTAAAATTTGTGCATATGAAATCCATGTGTTAAGAGCGCATGGGTGATGCTGCTTAAAGAAGTTATTTCGGTGTAATTGTTTTTCTCAGATAATAGCTATTTTATTTTTGGTTAATTGCATATTCATTCTCAGCAAATAAGTTTTTAGCTTTTACTGTCAGTTGTTTTTAATTATTTAAACATGATTGTACTTAAGTGGTAGTGTTTTCATTAGTGTTATTATTTGTTTTTACAGAAAACATATCTTGAGATTCCTGTGAAAACTAGAGTTGTGCATCTTCTGAACACCGTTCATAATGAAACTCAAAGGGAAGAAGAACGACAAATGGCAACAATTCTCCTACGGAGGCTTTTCTCTGTGGAGTTTGGAGAATTTTATACCACTGTATGGGTTATTCTCGTTAGATGTTCTTCAGTAGTTATTTGAAGTTTCTTAAATTACATTTATTCAATTTTACTTCTAGCTGCCCCTTGAAGCACAACAGGAACTCAAGACTCGTGTTTTGGCCATATTACATACTGAACAGTCTGACAATCTCCGTAGAAAATCTTGTGAAGTAGTTGCGGAATTGGCTAGAAATTTGATTGATGATGATGGTAACAACATCTGGCCAGAGTTTTTACAGTTTCTATTTCAATGTGCCAATTCAACGTCACCAATTCTAAAAGAAGCTTCTCTTCGCATGTTTGCGTAAGTGTTCTGTTGCAATGGTGTTTCATACAATGTCTTTCATGCTGAACCACTTGTTTTTAATGATTATTTCAAAAATTATGAGTGACATTTGAATTTTGCAGTGCTGTTCCTGGTGTTTTTGGAAATCAACAGGTTCAACATTTAGATCTGATCAAACAAATGCTTCAGCAAGCTCTTACTGATGCATCCTCTTACAATGTAAGGCCAATTTTTTAGATATGATTAATTATAGCTATTATGACAGTGGGAAATTAACTAAACCATGAATTTTACAAATCTATTTAAAACTTAGGTCCGTTTTCAAGCTGTGAAAGCAGTCTGTGCATTCATCATGCTTCACGAAAAAGAAGATACTATTCATAAACATTTCATGGAACTTCTTCCACCTGTCATAACGGTAATGTATAATCCAGATATTTTATACTTGAATAAGATTTACACAGTTCTTATTAATTGAAATAATCGAGGTTGATGATATTTTCTGTTTTGAATGATTGGTGAAATTTTTAATAATGTATTAATATATATTTAGATATCCTCATTTTTTTTATAGTTTATTTAAGTAGTTTGCAGATTATGTTAGGTTTAATCGCATAAAAATATTTTTTTAACAGAGATCAAATATGATAAAAAGTTTGAATAGATGAATGAAAATTTTCATGTATCAATTAGTGTATTCATTATTTCATAATAACTAAGTGAATACAACAGATATGAAGAGATTGTGTCACTTAAACAGTAAAAAAAAACAACATATTTTTGAAATGTGATTATTTTATCAAGGATTGGTTTGGTAAATTAATAATTAAAAAAATGACACATATTTATTATTATTTTTTGCTAAACTTTTAGATATCCCCATACATGCTATGTTCTAGAGCAAAGCAGTTTGCAGTGTTGGTTCCTGCAACAAAAACATCATTATTATATATACATTTTTGATTGTGTCAGCTTGAGTACTTAGCATATCACGTTACCCCCATCCTAAGTTTTGGGTCAAAGCTTAATTGTAACATCCTAATCTCTTGTGTGCTAATAAATGGTTTAATGTTCAAGTTAGAATATAAAGTAAAAGTGTAACCAAAAAGATCTACTGCTTAATAACTGGCAAATTACAAGTAAAACAACTACTGAAATGAATTTTCAGTATTTATTCAATGTGCAAATAAAAATAAAACTCACTACAGGTGTTTCTTATGTCAAAGTTATTTTTTTAAAGACATTAGTGTTTGTGCTTAATCTTGCATTACAGAAGAGCTCCCCAAAAAAGGTGTGAATTGTCTGAAATTACTTCAAAATATGTTGTTTTTACTTTTTTAGATTTATTCTCTAATCCCCAAGTTATCTGAAAAGTGGATGGTCAAGGGACCTCTTAAATTATTCTAATCTTTAATGTGTTATCAATAGGCAGCTTCTTTATATCATGTTTTTATACAAAAAAGAAACAAAAAAACAAAACAGTAAATCTGCTTAAAGAATAATTTTAGTAGATATGTTTACAGTTATAAATATTAATAAATGAATAAAAAAAAAATTCTCTTTCTTTTCTTCTAGTTTTTGACAATTTATTATCATCAGTTAATCAGTGAGAGAATCTGTTACTCAGAGCCTTTCTTTTTTAAAATTTGCCGTTAGTTTAAATTTTAGTCTAGATGATGTTTTCTCTTTTTTGGCAAATCTAATATCTAGCTTATTGGTCCCTTCATGTGTAGAAACTTTTTTTTTACATGGTATGTAATGTCGAAGCACTGATCTTTTTAGATGTGACAAAATCTAAATGACTTTTTAATGAAATCAGTTTTGTTCCTAAGAAAAAAATTGGGTATAGTTTGAAACAAAGGTATAGTTGTTAAAACAACATTGCTCATTATCATGCTTTTTATGCACATTCAATATGTTTCATATTTCAAAAAAAAAAAATATATATATAAAGAATATCTTAATCAGGAAATTGCATCTTCAAAACAACCAAAGATTTATTGGAAAACTATGAACTGGGGTAGACCAAGTAAAAAGAATACTATAGTGTCGGGGAAGCATTTTAAGTTTTATTGTATAAGATTAATGAATCAATTAATGTTGCCCAATAATAATAAAAAGCTGTTTTTATTAATTTATTTTTTTAATAAATAAATCAGCATTTTTTATATTCCCAATGCTGACAGGTAAGAATAATTTTATTCATAAAATAATTTTAGTGTACAGTTTTCAACTTATCTCATATAACAGAGCATACCGAGTCCAAATAATGGATTTTTGGCCATTGATCTGTCTGTGTGTCTATGTCAAAATTATTTTTTAAATGGTTGAACTAATTTTGTTGCTTATTTGTTTGGGAGGAAGGTTATATGGCCTTCATGTCTTTTAACCAAATCAAATCCTCTGTGCGTAATAGTCAAAAAACATGTTTTTCTATGGATTTAAGGCCTAAAATAGCTTGAACAATGTTGATGAAACTCCTATAATGTTCAATTTGAAGACTTTTAAGTTTTCATGTATGTAGTAGTACATACTGGAATAAAAGCTGGAAAGGAAGTTTCCAATAGTTCTTAATGTTTCAGATTGCCTTGGCCCCTATGAACCATTTTTGGACAATAGTTTGTCTACTATGCCATAATCCCCACATATATTTTACAATAAGGCTTGAAATCGGTTTTATACCAAATATAAATTCCTGTCATGCTCAAATACCTTGAATCATACTCTCCACTTTTGTATTTCTTCCTAATATAAATTAAGTCTATTCAAACATTTTAGGCTTCAATACTGGATTGGTGGTAAATCTGTAAATCGATACAGGACAAATAGGTGTTAATAAATGCGTACACCAAGACCCAGATAGTTCCTTCGGAGCGATTGGACCCTGCATTTCAAAGCCCCAAATCTTACTATTTTCGAGATAATGCAAAGGCTTCGCATCCACGCAACCTCATGTTAATTGTAGTGCTGCCATGGGATACATGCCTCATTTTCTCGATTTGAAGTCCCTATGATCGAGAGAGAGGAGGAGTTAACATTATTTATCAAAAGTTTCTAACTTAAATTTCTAACTAAATTTATCGAAATATGATAACTTTGTTAATTCTTCATCAAATCTCAAGTTTGAGCCACCCATTTTGAAGGTTTCCTTCTTCAGGTGGCAAAAATAGTCCCATCACTTAAAAATTCAGGTAAGAAAGTTATGAAAGAAAAGAAGCTTTATTTGTGAATAGCTCGAGAATTACACTTCTCTTTATCAAACCAATTATTATATAAAAGATTACTAAATTTCGTTCATAAGGAAAAATATCATCAAAATCGGACTGTTATTAGGAAAGATATAGCTTATGAAGTTTGCGACCATGTTGGATTCTGTATGTTTTGCAAACTTTTGGAATGACAAAAGTTAAAAAAATATTAGTCCATTACTTACAAAAATTAAGGAAAAGTTTTATGAAAATGATAAATTTGTTGAGAAAAATGATAAAGAATTGAACAGAAAATTGTGATGTTTCCACTTTCTTTTTTTTCATTTATTGCCCACCTCACTATTAAAAAAAAAAATTAATTTAAGATGATTTATAAAAATCTAAACAATGGATATGAAAAACTATTTACTTTTAAAGAAAATTAAGGATATAATGGTTGTGAGGCCTAGGTAAACTAACCTATCCATAGTATGGTTAGCCTCCACACCACACTTTTACCTCTTGTTTCCCCTTCACTTCTTGTGATTAAACATTTGATTTTTATAAATCCGCCAGGTTCGTCCATCAGTACCTTACACGATCAATTAGAACGTTAATAGTGCCTCGGAATGCAATTAAGAATGGCCGTGTAGGTCTGTAATATAGAGATGAATCCTGGGTATTCCTTAGTGAATCCTGGGTTGAAACTCTAAAGTTAAAGTTGCACGTATCAAAATACCAAACTTATTGAAATTAGCACTTAACACACTATTCACAGTTGCCTAAGAATGTATATATAAAATGATTATGAAATATTTTGTTGATTTATTTTTAATTTCTGGCAGTGAAGTATAGCCTCTTGTGCACTGTTCTGTGCTCTTTTAAAACAGGCCAATATCCCTTGTGAGTTCATTGTATATGCTATTATTACAATAATAAAATCTTAATTGGACTGATATTAGCAACTGCAACTTACATTTTTTATACTAAAATTTTCATCCTGTTCGGAAGGAAAGTTGTGTTTATGGTAACGCAAGACATTTTTTTTACTTTACTCAATCCATCCTCTTCTAGTGCTATGCAGTATTAGGCTTCCATCTATACAGCCTGATCAAAAACTTTTTGTCAAACAATAATTTCTGCTAAAAAGCAGATGAAATAATGAAGCTTGTTTGATGCGGGCAACAGATTTTCTCACTTTCACTTAGTTATCTTTTTTCTCTCATTTACCCCTTTCTGACACCAGGATATGAAACCGTAATCTTACATTGGGAATTGAATAGCTGTAACTTTGTTAGTAGTTGTCCAGAATGAACTATTTTTATATAGTCTTGTAGGAAATTTCATTACATTTAAAAAAAAATAAAAAGGCTAAACGGTGTTCTTTCGGACTCAATGGACTCTGAAATGTATTTCCGTTGAAAACTGACCTGATTGTAATACTTTCCTTACCTATTATAGGTAGGAAAGTAATAAATTAAAATAGAAAATAGAATAACCTGTATCATCGCTAATAATAGTTTGATTCCGATGATATTTTTTTTGTTTTGTTGGTTATTTAATTACCTTTCAAAAGTTTCACTATAAATTTTACCGTAGAATATATACTTAGCGAGTTTAGCCCCAAAACATTTTTCTTTTTTTTCTTGAATTTCTCGGGAATTTAGTCCATATACGAAAATTGAAAGGACAATTATTAGAACATTATAGAAAAGTCTCATCAAAATCGTTACGGCTGTTTTATCGCCAAAGTCTATAGAAAAACATGGTTTTCATTTATTGCGCATGGAGCATCCAATTTTTGTCACAGGCATCAGTAGCCAAAACCCTAAAAAATAAAAGAAGCAACAAAATCAGTTCAATAGTTCCCGAGAAAATTTTGGCTCAGACAGACCAATGGCAAAAAATGTGTTTTTCGGACTCAAGGGCTCTGAAACGTTTAGATCCGTCGAAAACTGCATATCGGAAATTTGACCTGATCATAATACTTTCCTTACCCAGTATAGGTTGGAAAGTAATCATGTTGCCTAATGTTATTTGATTATTATATTAAATTCATCAATCAGTATCAATTGAGATATTATTATATAACTTAATTGTTAATATGACGTTTCTATTATTTTTCAGGTTATTGCAGAAAGCATTAAGGAACATCAAGATGACTCTCTTTTAAAATGCCTAATTGATCTCGCTGAAAGTGCTCCTAAGTTCCTTAGACCTCAAACAAATACTATTTTACAAATGTGTTTAGAGGTATAGCTTTGAAGTTTTTTAATGATTTTTATAGTCCCTTTCGATGTGTTTTTTTATTTACTATTCTTTAATGTTTAGGTCCTGTCAAATAATAGTTTAGATGAAAATTCATGGAAACACTTAGCGTTAGAGACAATTGTAACACTCTCAGAGACTGCTCCTGCCATGATGCGCAAGGAAGCAGGCCATTATATCCCAGTCCTAATTCCCATCGTTCTTGATCTTATGACAGATCTAGATGATGATCCTGAATGGAGTGTATCCGATGAAATCGTTGAAGATGATAACGATAGGTAGAGATAAAATTTTTATTTTATTAATTATTCTTAATCTTCATTTTTGTGTGAATGATCTCTCTTCCTTGTTTCCTATTTTATGTACATACTTTTAAGCTATTTTTTTATTTTGTTTTTTCAGTAATAATGTTGTGGCTGAATCCGCATTGGATCGTTTGGCTTGTGGTTTAGGTGGAAAAACTATTCTTCCTCAAATCCTTGTAAATATTCCAACCATGTTGACTCATGAAAATTGGAAGTTTAGGTAAGTGTATTGAATTTTCATTATAAAACTTTTTACCTGATTATAACTAGCTGTCAAAATGGAGTTTAATATGTTTAGTTGGATCATTTTTAGGTATATAATTATTTTTTGAGCTCAACCAATTTTCGAGTTTATTCAATCAGATCATATGAATGTTTTGAAACAATTTCAGCTGAAAATTATTGCATTAAATGTTTGTAGTCTCAGTTTGAAGGTATTTAATGATTTCATGGGCAAACAGCTCGACTGATCTTTTTAATTTCATGGCTCAAATTGCTCAGATCCCGTTTTTAAAACTTAATTGAGCTCAAAATATTGAAATTATATTTTAAATATTGTCAACTTTTTGTTAGTTTCATATCATATGTTTCTTTGTGATCATATATAATGAATCTCCTTTTCACCAACAGTTTTCTAGTTAGTCACACCCAGTGTGTGTAGCTTTGTTTTAGAATTCATTTTATCTATTATTTATGTTTGAATTACATTATAGCACAGCATTCATTAAAATTCATATAATTAAACTTAAATAATTATTAACTATTTTTTTTTAGACATGCTGCATTAATGGCCATTTCTGCTGTGGGAGAAGGGTGCTATAAACAGATGGAGGGCATGTTACCTCAAATCATGGAAGGCGTACTGCAATACCTCAGTGATCCTGTAAGACATAGTTTATTTATATTTGTTTATAGTTTGCTTTAATAAAATAAATTAAATGTATTTTTTATATAATTTTCCAATTAATTTTAGCATCCACGTGTCCGATATGCTGCATGTAATGCCATAGGACAGATGTCCACTGATTTTGCTCCTACCTTTGAAAAGAAATTCCACGACAAAGTAATTCCTGGTCTGCTGATGGTTTTAGATGATAATCAAAATCCAAGAGTTCAAGCCCATGCTGGTATGTAATATAGCTTCTATATGTTTTTAAGACAACATACAAACTTATTGAGAATTTTTCAAGTTCATTCATTACTTTTTACTTCAGGTGCTGCATTAGTGAATTTTAGTGAAGACTGTCCAAAAAATATTTTGGTTCAGTACCTGAACGAAATCATGGCTAAATTGGAAGGAATTTTGAGTGCTAAATTTAATGAAGTATGTATTGCTTTATTTTAGAAACATTAGTTATAATTAACCTAAAATATTGTTCCTATTTTTAATTATTAAGGAACTTCCTCCTCTTTACATTTAAATTTTACAGATATTTATTATTGTTTTGTTTTTAGCTAGTAGAGAAGGGAACAAAATTGGTTTTAGAACAGGTCGTAACCACTATTGCTTCAGTGGCAGATACATCTGAAGAGCAATTTGTCGCCTACTATGACAGGTAAATACATTATATATTTAAAGTAATATTTTTTTTTTATTTTTTATCTATTTATCAAATATGGAATACAACTGGATAGTGGATAGTAATACAACTTACTTTTTGTAATTGAAATAATAATCAACTTAAGAATGAGTGCATTCTATTGAAATAATTGGCATGAGTGCATTGGTCTGTTCCAACACAATTTTATAATTTATTACTTGATAACTAATTTGTTAATTGGATTTACTGTTAGTAAATATATATTTTTTCTGCATTACTAATGTAATAACTATTTAGAAATCAGCTAAATTTTGCGCTTCCAATCTTTAAATTTCATAAAACAAAATGCATTAGTCATTCCTATTCATTTTTATGTTATACCAGACACGAAGGTCTCTACAACGGGGTATTTTGTTTTTTACAAAGGCCTGGCAGGTATCGCAATATGGTTGGGCCTCTTTTGTGATATGTTAATATGATATTGTGAGTACGCAGTAATGCGATGAGTCCACCATCACCTGAGACGGATTCTGTCTTGTCTCATATGCGAGTCCACCGTTCTTAATGGGCTAAGTTAGCTAAGATTCAGTTAATAATATTGATCAAGCAATGTTATATGTGTGGTTTTCCTTTCAAATTTTGTACTTAACAAACACTTGACAAGTATTTAAAAAAAAAACTGTTTTTTGCTAATGTGGAGGTGGCAGCAGATGGATAAAGATAGTTTTTTTTTTTAATGCATAAAATTATTCTCAAAATAAAAAAATGTTTATCATACCAATCATGTTTCTTTTTTTGACAGGCTGATGCCCTGTTTGAAGTATATCATACAAAATGCCAATACTCCCGAATTGAAAATGCTGCGGGGAAAAACAATTGAGTGTGTCAGTTTAATTGGACTTGCTGTCGGAAAAGAAAAGGTATGTATGCCTATTTACAATTATCAAAGTTTTATTATTACTTGAATTATTTTTCTGGTTTTTAATTTAATTTAATCTCTTATGATTGAAAAATTATTAAATAAAGTTCTAGTATTTAGTTGCTAATAGTTCTAAAAAATGATCAATTTTCATAATTACTGATCATTCATTGAGGTTAGAAGGAAATGGTCTGAGAGATGATCAGAAAAAAATTATCTAATGACTGCTGACAATGTATTTATCTATTAATATGTATGTTTTTCCTACTGACTTCCATAGCAACTCCTAGATTTTCAAATGATCAACCATCGACACATATAGTAAATATTTAATCTTTCAATTCTCATTACGTATTTGAATTTTCAATTTTAGTTTGCTCCTGATGCAACAGAAATTATGGATCTTCTCTTGAAAACCCATGGGGAAGGAGAACTACCAGATGATGACCCCCAAACCTCTTATTTGATCTCAGCATGGGCTAGGATATGTAAAATATTAGGTAAAAATATTTTATTTTGTCATTTTAAAATTATCTTTCAAGTTTATAAGTATTTTTTTATTTTTAAAAATAGTTAAATATTGATAATTTTATTATTTATTTCAGGAAAGGCATTCCAGCCATATTTGCCATTGGTGATTGGACCGGTTATGAGAACAGCTTCGCTAAAACCAGAAGTTACCTTGATGGATAACGATGATATGGACGAGGTTTCTGGTGACGATGATTGGCAATTTGTTTCACTCGGTGAACAACAAAATTTTGGAATCAGGACAGCAGGTGTGTAACTGCATTGAAAAGTAATAGACACTCGGTTGTATTGAAGTACTTAGTATTGAAATCTCGTATTATTTATAGTATACATATGTAACCAACATAAATGAGCTATTAGTCTAGAAATGTATTTGTCTATACTATGTATATGTCTATACTAATAGAATAGAATAGAAAAATAACTTTATTCTGGGACACAGTCCCTTGAGAATAACAAATTAGAACAAAATTAAAATACTACAGTTATATTGTTCTAAACTATTCTGGTATACAATAACTCCTTAAAATTCATGAGGGTTGTATTTCAGGAAAATCATGAAAATCAACAAAACAACACATTTGTTTTTAATATATCGTAGATTTATTTCAAAAAGTCATTAAGTAACGTTTCATAAAATTGAATCACGAATTACTTGAATTAATTTTTCTTTGGTGACGTCAAAACATTGTGCACTTAACTATATTCAATATATAAAAGGGTTTGTACTTTAACTTACATACTTTAATTTACTTAGTATATTTTTGTACTGATAAATAAGTTGAATTGCCCATAATTCAGCCAAATTATCCTTAAAATATTTTAATCTTTCTCACTTTTGTAAACCTCACTAATATTCTAGCATTTCTGATTAATTTTTGTTTTATTTCAACTTAAGGAGCATGTTTATTTCATTAAGAAATTAAGTGCAGAATTTTTTTTAATACATTTTATGCTTCTATACCTATAAGTAAACTTACAACTTCAGTATCTGCATACTTATTTTATTTTGAAATGTTTAAGCTCATGTTTTATTTTCACTTTCACTTATGTATATTTGTAATATTTTATACATATAAATAATCAAATATACAATTTGTAAATGTGGATATCAAACTCGCACTTACACTATTATTATATTATGAGTAAGCCTTTGAATAACGGTGTAATTAATTTTTTAGGTATCGAGGACAAGGCTTCAGCTTGTGACATGTTAGTATGTTACGCTCTAGCTCTCAAGGAAGGTTTTGCCGACTACGCAGAACCTGTAGTCAAACTGATGGTGCCTATGTTGAAATTTTATTTCCACGATGGTGTTCGTACAGCTGCTGCTCAAAGTCTTCCTTGTCTTCTAGACTGTGCTAAGTCAAAGGGTAAGTAAATATTTTAGTTAAAGGTTTATATTAATTATTACTATTATATATTTGTCTATGTGTCTCTGATTATATGATTATTCAAATCTTTTATTATCAGCATGATTTTTTTAACGATAATTTTCTTAGTAATACTATTCCCTTGTTTGTTTCATTAATAAATTATTGAAAGTTATATTTTATAAATAATTTATTGATTAGAAATGCTTTAAAATATTTTCTTCAATCAAATTATTTTTCATTAAAACTTACAATAAATTATTTGGTACTTTAAATATTACTTATTTTTAAACTAATAACTTTCTGATACATTTATACTTATCCATAACATTTATGTGAGGTCCTCGTTTACCATCGGACATACCAGGTGTCAATTTATTACATGAGTGATCTATATTCAGTAATAAAACAAATATGTTTTAATCTGAATAAATTCCTCTTCTTGGACTATCATATTTGTGATTGGCTGATTGTATTTGTATCTTTTGTAGTAATCATACGATTATTTGGCCAGACAATGAAATTGTATTTTATTGATTTAAATATTTCACCTACTTATTTCATTACTTTTTTTTTTTAGGCACTGCTTTTATTCAAGGAATGTGGGAATATATTTGTCCTGAATTGCTAAAAGCCATTGAAACTGAGCCAGAAACAGAAGTAAAACACGAACATATGCGTTCGTTGTCCATGGTAAGAAAAAATGAATAACAATATTTTACTTTTCAGTAGACGTTCGTAATATTTACTGGGGTTAAGGAATCCTTTAATATGTCATGAATTAGTGCTACAAATGGTTGAGAATTGTTTTGATTCAAAAACAAAAAAAAAAGTTTTATGACTTGAGTCTGATCGAAAACTAATTGTGTACTACATTGTATTACTCATGACATAGTACTATAAAGGAAACAAAAAACAAAATTTTGGAAACAATTACATACCTTCTTAATAAGATTTTTTATTATCTGTCTAATGTAATTCTTGCTTAAAATTTCTTAATCCCTTCAGCTAAATATTGAATAAAATATATTGACAATCGAGTTTTACATTAAGCTTTCTTTAAAAAGAAATATAAAGGATTCAGAAGCCTATCAGTAGTAGAATAAATTATTATAATACAAGATAATTAAACATTTTATGAAGTGATACAGGGAGGTGGTGGTCCCATTACCCGGTATTGTACCACAGTTAGCCACTGGCCCTCCAGGTTGGGGAAACAGTTCACTGATAAAGCACTCATCACACCAAAGGCCATTAACAGTACACACTCCAGGATCACCTTCCCTGGATAGCCGCTTCAGATGGGGGAGCATGGAGTATGGCAGGAGTTAACAGGAGGATGGCTTAGTTGGTAATTGAGTTTAAGCCAATCAGCCGAAGAATATGCCTCCTTTGTCTAAAAGGCAAATACATCAATTTTTCACTCATAAGCGTAAACATGCATGCACCTACAGAGACATCGATCGGATAATGAGGATAAGGATGACCTCTACAATATCCTTGAGCAAGCTGCCGATGCAATCCCCAAACATGACATGAAAATTATAATTGGAGATCTAAATGTACAAATTGGTAGGGAATCAGTTTTTCGTCCCACCATTGGAAAAACAGTATTCATGAAGTTGTCATGAATGATAATGGAGAGATACTGGTTAATTTTGCAGGAGAGGGAGAGAGTAAAAGTTGAGGCCTTCGATTGTGTCGAGGAATTTATGTACTTTGGGACACTGTTGTTAAACTCTACTAATAATATGCAACCAGATATTCAGAGACAGATAATGGCAGCTAATGGATGCTATTATAGGCTTCAGAGGGATCTAAAAAATAAATCTCTCTTTAGGACCACCAAGATATGTATCGAATAAGACTGATCAGGCCTGTCCTCATCTATTCATCTGAGTGCTGAGTGCTGGATGAAAGCACTAGAATCAACTCTTTTGAGATTCAAAAGAAAGATTTTAAGAGGAATTATGAGGTTTACGTGTATCAATGTTTTATGGTGATCAAGGAAAAATGCTGAGCATATGAATCTCTACAAAGATCTTGATATCGTGCATTTAATACAAGTTGGATTTCTAAGATGGATAGGGCATATTGCACGCATGTATAGCAATGAAGTATCCAAACTGCTCCTAGAAGAAAAAATATTTGGACGTAGAAGAGTTGGAAGACTTCGCATGCGTTGGGTGGATTACGCGGGAGTAGATGCTCGGAAGCTGCTGGGTGTAAAAAAATTGGAAAGCAGCAGCACAGAACAGAGAAGACTGGCGGCTCCGACTAAGGAAAGCCTTGACTCCATTGAGTTGTGGAGCTCTAAAAGAAGAAAAATAAAGTGATACACAGAAAAATACTACTAATCCTAAAAAATAGTAATTTTTTTACTATTGATATGAAAAGTTATACTTTTTCAAGGATAGAAAAATTAAGCCCAAAAGTTCTAAAAATATTTGATTTAATTTAAAAGCTGTGTCACTAAAGTAACAGCCCAATTAACTGCTTGACACATTTGAGAGGTTAAAACAAACATACTTAATTAGGGCAAATTAAGTTCCTTTTAAGGTAAATATTTATAACCTATATCTGGAAAGATCATTTTCAAATGATGAACTAGACCTACTGATATTAAAATCATTGATTCTGTAATATAAGCAGGTTATTACTAATATTATGAAAAAGAAAATACCCATGAAAAGAGAAATTTGTTTCAAACGGACTTACTAGAAGTGCTTCCTGTGCTCTGCATGTTAGTTAAATAGTGACTGAAGCATTTTATTAAATAAAAGTTTTAATAATAAGCAAGCAGATACAACATTCAAGTCATTTGCAGCAAAATTAAAACTTCACAGACAGGTTTCTGAACCCTTCATCCTATTTTGTTTCATATAATGTTTAAAACTCCTAGATTGCTGCCATCGTTACAGCTTTTGATAAATCACAGCTGTTGACTTACCTTTATTGGCCTCTATTTTTTCCTAGATTATTTTAGACTACTTCTTTATTTTTTGTACTCTTTCAAGAAATAAAGAAGTATCATATTCTTAAGTCCATAACATTTATTACTATTGTCCATTGAAATTTGTCTAAATATTTTTTGTTTTAATTTTAGTGTATTGAAACTCTCGGCAAAGGTTGCATGTCAGAGGAATCGATGAAGGAGTTACTCAGGATATTAGATACACTTTTAAAACAGCACTTCGATCGTGCAGTTGAGAGACTGGATAAGAGGAAAGATGAAGATTATGATGAGGTTCTTATTTGTTATTTTGTTTTAAGCTATGTATTATTTTAACAATACTTTAGATTTTAATATTATTTTCCTGTTTAGATTGTAGAAGAACAATTAGAAGATGAGGACAACGATGATAATTACACTTTAGGCAAGGTTGCAGATATCCTTCATGCTCTCTTTTTCACCTACAAGCAAGACTTTTATCCTTATTTCGATATGATTATTGGACACTTCATAAAAATGATTGTAAGTACAAACTATTTAAAACAAAAAATCTAGTGTGCGCTACACACAACTTCCACTTACCACTCTACTTTGAATAGAAATTATTCACAATGTCGGGCTATTATTAAATTTTTAACGAAGCTATAGCATATAGCTTACAGCTAACAAATTCGGCTGTGGAAAAATAGCTCTTTCTTTTAGTCAAATGCCTTTTATTATGTAATGAAAATACTATTAATTATGTTGTATTATTTTTTTGAAATATTTAATATAGATAAGTGAAACCATCTTTATTGAACTATTACATAAAACATTTGTTTATAATAAATATTGTAACATTGTATTTCAAATCCAAGATTAAACCTGAAAACATTTTTCAGGGAGCCGATCAACCTTGGTCAGATCGTCAATGGAGTTTGTGTGTCTTTGATGATGTAATCGAATTTGGAGGTCCAGCCTGTATTAAATATCAACAGTACTTCCTTTCTCCGATTCTCGAAGGAGTTAGGGATAAAAATCCAGCTGTTAGGCAGGCAGCAGCGTACGGCTGTGGAACACTGGCCATGAATGGTGGTCCTGCTTTTGCAGGTAAAAATCAATGTTTTTGTTTAATTATGTCAAATGTCATCCCTTTTCCTTATAGATTCTTAGCTTCTGACTTTATTTCTGATGTATTTGGACATTTGTTAGTCATGTGGGAGTTGATAAGTTTAAATTTGGTAACTCAGTGTTTTACTCATTGGCCAAGAAAGATAAATATTAGTCACATTATTTCTCAACTTCTTCTTCGGTGCATAATATTTATTTTCAAGTTTATTTATTATCAGCCAATTTTTAAAATATTGTCAACTTAAAGACATCACATCTAATTACGACGTTTCGGCTCTGAGCCATTTTCAAGTCTAAAAAAATTTTTATAATTTACAATCATATTTTACAATACAATCATATTATACCTACAACTATTTTATTTACGAAAACTTTTGTAATTTGGGAGTTTTCAATCTGGAAAGGGACAAACTTTGTCAATTTAATCAAGTACTAAAAACTTGTTAATACCCATTTGCTTAATACTTGGATGATAAGATAATTTGATCACAAAATCGAGAAAAAAGGTCGCCTCCAAAAATATTGAGCCAATTGGTGTGACTTACACCCCCAAAATTTCAAAATAACGACGTTATATAGGACAAACTGCCCAGTATTTTTGGATGCCATATTTTTTCTCGATTTTGTGATAAAATTATCTTACGACCCAATTAGAAAGCAAATTGATATTTATGAGTTTTAGTACTTAATTAAATAGATATAGTTTGCTCCCCTCGTAAATAAAATAGTTGTAGGTTACGATGAGATGAAACTATTTACAAAGTTTCAGGCAGATGTTAATAATTCGATACGAAGGGGTCTGTACCATGGACAATTAGGTTTTAGAAATTATTCTTTTAGTAATAGCACACATTTTTATTTGAAAGAGTACACTGTGCTTTCTCTTTAGGTCTGCTTTGCCATTCTGTTATTGTTTTCTTTTTTACATGAAGATAGCTTCTTAACATTACTAGAAATTATAAATTTTAAATATGCCATGCCTACATAACGATTTATTTTCTTCAGGCACATGTGCCGAGGCACTCCCTCGTTTGGCCGACATGATAAATGATCCGCAATCAAGAGCAGAAGAAAACATAGGTTCGACAGAAAATGCGATCTCAGCTGTAACAAAAATTCTACAGCACAACAGTAGTAATGTGAATGTCAACGAAATCTTACCCCATTGGTAGGTTTTTTTTTTTATTCATTAGTATCTGATAAAAAAAATATATTGTTTTAATTAAGTTATGAATTTCAATAAATGTTGCTGTTGCAGGTTGTCATGGCTTCCGGTCTGGGAGGATCCTGACGAAGCCCCGCACATCTACGGTTACTTGTGCCAACTCATAGAAACAAATAATTCAATAGTCATAGGTCCAAATAGTTCGAACATTCCCAGGCTTATAGCAATTATTGCAGAAGCTTTTAACAGGGATGCCTTACCTTACGAACATCCGGTCTCTCAGAGGTTGGCCAATATTGTAAGACAAATTCAGGTATGTTTGTTATTTATTTATTTTTTTCACGAACAGGTCTTAAAGACCACGCGAATACCATGAAGTTAATGCTTCCTCTTCTCCCATATGCCCCTCATGAGCTCCGCGTGCTTACGTTTTCTCTCCTCAGACCACGCAACACCCTTTTTGGAGCGCTTCTTGCCCGCAAGAACCGTTATTCTCTTGAGCGCCTTTCTGTACTCATCTCTGTCTAAACAATCTTGGTCTCTTAGCCCCACTTGGTCCGTATCATCCTTAATCTGTTTAAAATACCCGCTTACATTCTTATGACTGGATGCGCTGAAAGATTTTATGGTCAAGTCTTTCAGGATTCATCCTTATCATATGGCCATAGAACCTCAGCCTTCCCACTCTAGCGTCAGTTTCTAGATCCGTTGTTTGTTTATATATTTCCTCATTTGACCTCAACCTGTATCCTTCAGGTGTTCTTCTAGGCCCGTAGATTCTTCTGAGAATTCTTCTCTCTATTTTCAGAAGGCTTTCTAGGCTGGGAAGACAAGAAGTTTCTGTTGCGTAAAGTACCACTGGCTTGACGACCGTGTTATAATGTCGTATTCTGGCTTTTAGAGATAAGTTCTTCTTTTTATAAAGCTCACTGGTGGCGAAGCTTAATTTCTCGATTTTGGCGATTCTTTCCTTAAACCCTTCTCTCTCTGACCCATTGCTGCATATGATTTCTCCAAGGTATTTAAATCTAGTTACTTTTATCGTTCCGTATTTGGTTTTAATTGTGTTCTTCTTAAAATTCGCGTCCGTGGTCATCAATTCCGTCTTTTCAAAAGATATATGTAAGCCTGTTTTCCTCGCTATTTCCGAGAGGGTGTTTATTTGGGCAATCGCCTCTTCTTCAGTTTCGGATAAAAGGGCAACGTCGTCTGCGTATGCGAGACATCCAATTTTGACGTTATTGTTCTTAGTACCTAGGGTAGCACCTGAATTGTTGATTTTCCATAGTTCCTTTATGATCTTGTCGAGTAATACGTTAAACAGTATTGGAGACAACCCGTCTCCCTGTCTGAGACCCGTTTTGATCTGAAATGATTCAATGATATTTCCTTGGAATTTAACTTTAGATTCAGTCCCTGTCATCGTTAACCCTACCAATTTTCTAGTTTTTTGGTCAACTCCGTATTCTTTTAGTACTTCAAGTAGTGTTTTCCTATCTACCGAATCATAGGCCTTTTTGAAATCGACGAAAGAAATAAAAAGGTTCTTTTTACTTTTAGTCCTGTAGTGTTTGATTAATAGCTTGAGGCTCAAAATTTGTTCTTGACATGATCTATTTTTTCTAAAACCACCTTGGTACTCCCCGATTTTAGAATCTACTTGTGGATAGAGTCTGTTTAGTAAAGCCTTTGAGAAAATCTTGTAGGTGACCGGTAGTAGGGAGATTCCCCTGTAGTTATTCACATCAGTTTTATCTCCCTTTTTATGTAGTCGGTGTATTAAGGCTGTTTTCCATTCTTGGGGAATCTTCTCCTCGCTCCAGATATCCATCATCAGCTCCATGATTACTCTTCTGAAGTCATCCCCAGTCAGTTTCCACATCTCGGCAAGCACACCGTCCTCTCCTGCCGCTTTGTTGTTCTTTAAGGATGCGATGATTTCATCCAGTTCCTCATCATCTGGTGGATATGATTCTACATCAGGAGGCGTGTTATCGACCGTTGTCATTCTTTCCTGAGGTTCTTCACAGTTCAATAGTTCCTCAAAATACTTCGCAAAAATGTTACAGTTTTCCTCACTCGTCTGTGCTAGGGTTCCATCTATGTTTGTTATTATTATTATGTTTTTAAATATTTTTATAAAGATTTATTTTTAAAGTATTAAATTTTTCAATTTAATTAAAAACATTGGGTATAATTTTTTGTAAATAAAATATAAGAAATTAGTCAAGAATAATGATCATTGTCCTACCAGAAAAGAATGTTTACATTAATATATGTGATTATTATTAGTCAACTTATTTATTTATTTATTTTTTGTTTATAGGGAAGCGGAGAAATGTTTCAGTTATGCGTAAATCAACTATCGTCAGAACAGCAGGTTGCATTACATGACTTACTAAGTAGCAATAAATGAAAACATCAAATGTACTGTTCCGGAAATTATCGTTTACTTTCTGTGATTTTTAAGATTATTTTATGACCATTTGCTTTACGTGTAATTTATGTTTCCTGTTAAATAACTTGTATTTTAGAAGAATATATGAGTATATATGAATTGTATACTTTAAGAGGTACTGAAGTTTAGATAACATATTTTTGTACATGAAGTAAAAACTAATAATTTTAAAATTTTATCAAACACAAAAGTATTGGATGTTTTTAAATTTTAGTATACTTTCCTTATAAGAAGTATATTCAGTGATTACAGTTATCGATTTGCATGTAAATAAACAAGTTATAATTGTTTTGTTATTTTAATTATTAAGATTTTGTAATTGTTTACAAACCCAATCTCGTTTTTTGTTTTGTTTAAAATCCTGATTTATATAATATTTGAAAGCATACTGATTGTTAGTAAAATGTTATGTAACTTTTTATTTAGGGGAATTACACGAATATAGTTTAATGGAATACAATGTAGTGCCTTGTTTCATTAATATTATGCTTGGATTATAACTTAGTAATATTTATAAAGCTCTAGTTACTACTACGTAAAACTAAATTATTAAAAAAATGTACTAAATTATTTAATTGTACATGGTAAAACTGAAATGTCTAAGAACTGAAGTTATTTCTGGACTGCCTTTGCTTATATTCTATTCCTTCATGTAAATACAAATCAGATATTAAAGGTCCACGGAGACATTTTTATATAAATCTGTCTGTTATTTTTCTCCTTAATTTTCCTGTCTAATAAATATTTTCCGATCGAATTTCTTAGCTTTTGTATTATTTTCCTCAGTTCTCAGAATAGATGTGAAGTATTTCTTTTATTAAGAAGTAATGATGGTTTGGGAAGAAAGATATTGATATTTAAAAGCATTTATTTTTTCATCATTTAAGCCTGTAGCAAGCAGTGGATAGAATTAAAAATGCTGATCCACAATAGTACTGTGAAGACCCCTATAATTTGTCTCTTCAAAGATAACTCAACATTATATCAATAACAACAATATCAAATAATAATATGAATGGTATTTCATGAAGTAGACAGATGTTAATAATTAGATAAAAAGGGAATAGTCTGTGGGTCCAGACGCCCTTACCATGCACCCCCCCTCCCCCACATCCCTATAAATTGCATATCTTATTCCTTGTAACAATTTATTAAAAAAAAGCCAATGTTCCCACACAAAAAAAGAACGCACTGCCCCAAAGATGGCTGATTGAAGACTTTGACTTTAGTTAGTTTTTTGGTCACTGAGAATAAGCATTTGGCTTAATTTCCTCATAGTTGGTCTTTTATTAAAGCTAAATAGTCATAGAATAATAAAACATGAAGAAATATTAAAAAATAATTGGCTTAGGCTACGAAAAACAACAGTTAAGTCATTTATTTTACAAAAAAATTTTAGTTACAAATAAAGTGTCGTTTGTAAATAAACGGCCTACAATAACGCAAAATGTGCTCAAATAAAACATCTGGAGAATATATTTCTGTTTCTAAAACGTTGATTATTTAAAAAAAAAATTCCGTAGAAAATGTACTTATGTGGCAGAAAAGCAGTACTGGCATGGGTGCCTACAGGCCTCTACCACACCATTCAGACCACATAAATGGCTTAGTTATAGTGATATAATAACATTTTTGGTACATTATATTGGTTTTATTAATGAACAAATATTAATGCAATAATTTAATCGTAAAAAGAAAAAAATTTAAATTAAAAAAAAAGATTAATTATTATTTTTTTTTAATTTAACCTACTTTATTCTATACGTAGGTCATTTAAGAAGACCTCAATTGTAAAAATAATATAATGATAATAATAAAATTTAATTAAAAAATACTTTGCTAAATATCTTGATTTTTTTTTTTATTTAACGTTTGCAATTTAACACTGTGTTTTGTATATTTACTGATTCTTAGAGGTAATTAAAATTTGTATATACTTCCCAGGAAATGAGTCATATTAATACCTGTTTTATAAACTAAAATAATATATACCTAATCTGAACTATATATAATGAATGGCTGCCGGGTTGTTTAGTAAAGCTCATAAACCACTAATTAAAAAATAATTTTTATTTCCTTTATTTAAATAAATAGGAAATTTTAATATTGAATGAGTTATTCTCTATGCACAAAGAAAGATACAAAGTGTGACGCTATAAGTTCTTCTATAAACCAGAACTGATTGTTTGGATTTGGTTTCAAAATGAGGAAAAACGCGAAATTGAACTAGAAAATGGGAAAAATACATTAAGCGCGAACGAGAAAGGAAGTGCCAAAACCTCGGAAAATATAAAAAGGACCAATATCCCTTATATAGCTAAATGAATGTTTAGTAGACAGATGAACAGAATATTTCAAGATGCTGCTAAAAGGAGGTCAATTGCAGTTTGGATGATATTAAGTGGACGATGTATGTTTATTATGGTGAAAACCACTTTATTTTCGATTGCTGAAGGTGCACATCGGGACCATCTTCACTTTGAAGTAGGATATAGAGAGGTATATTGAGAAAGTTATAGCTCACAGCTCTCCTGTTTAGTGCATTTGCAAAAGATTTTTTAAGGAATCTTATATTAGTTCAGAAATTGCGGAATAAATGTTCGGAATTTGTACCTTATCATAAAAAAATAGGAAATTTTAATATTGAATGCATTATTCTCTCTGCACAAAGAAAGATGGAAAGGGCGAAACCGAACTGTTTTGCACAGTTTTGGGCGTACATAGGCAACAAGTATATTAGAAAATGATATGAAAGGACTGTGGTTTTTACCTTAACAAGAAAGGAGATACTAGGAAATGTAATGCCCATCAAGATCCATTCCTGTTTAGTGTACCAAACAAATTATACTCAAGAATTGTAGAAGCTGGAATAAGAAATATTGTCGATTGCCAGAGCAATATGGATTGAGAAACTCAAGTTGCACATTGGAAGAGAAGTTGAAAATTAGGACTGTCTTCACTTTAAGGCAGGTTATAGAGAAGTCCATATAAAAAGAAAAATAGCTCTCTATCTGCTTAGTGCCAAATACTTTAGATTGTGCTAGTATCTAATTGTCCTTCAGAAAAGCTCGTTTTCCTTTTAAATTCCTTAAAAAATCTTTTACAAATGCACTAAACAGAAGGAGAGCTATGAGCTATAATTTTCTTGATATACCTCTCTATATCCTGCTTCAAAGTGAAGATAGTCCCGATGTGCACCTTCAGCAATCGAAAATAAAGAGGTTTTCACCATAATAAATATACATCGTCTACTTACTTTAATTAGTGATATATGAGTTTTACTAAACAACCCGGTAGCTATTCATTATATATAGTTCAGATTAGGTATATATTATTTTAGTTTATAAAACAGGTATTAATATGACTCATTTCCTGGGAAGTATATACAAATTTTAATTACCTCTAAGAATCAGTAAATATACAAAACACAGTGTTAAATTGCAAATATTAAATAAAAAAAAAAAATCAAGATATTTAGTAAAGTATTTTTTAATTAAGTTTTATTATTGTCATTATATTATTTTTACAATTGAGGTCTTCTTAAACGACCTACGTATAGAATAAAGTAGGTTAAATTAAAAAAAAATAATAATAAATCTTTTTTAAATAAATAATAATAAATTAAAATTTTTTTTCTTTTTACGATTAAATTATTGCATTAATATTCGTTCGTTAATAAAACCAATATAATGTACCAAAAATGTTATTATATCACTATAACTAAGCCATTTATGTGTACTGAATGGTGTAGAGGCCTGTAGGCACCCATGCCAGTACCGCTTTTCTGCCGCATAAGTACATTTTCTACGGAACTGCTTAAAATTTTTTAAAAAATAATCAACGTTTTAGAAAAAGAAATATATTCTCCAGATGTTTTATTTCAGCACGTTTTGCGTTATTGTAGGCCCTTTAATTACAAACAACGCTTTATTTGTAACTTGAATTTTTTTTTGTAAAATAAATTGACTTTACTGTTGTTTTTCGTAGCCTAAGCCAATTATTTTTTAATATTTCTTCATGTTCTATTATTCTATGACTATTCAGCTTTAATAAAAGACCAACTATGAGGAAATTAAGCCAAATGCTTATTCTCAGTGACCAAAAAACTAACTAAAGTCAAAGTCGTCAATCCGCCATCTTTGGGGCAGTGCGTTCATTTTTTTTTGTGGGAACATTGGCTTTTTTAAAATAAATTGTTACAAGGAACACAACGATATGCAATTTATAGGGATGTGGGGGGAGGGGAGGGGGGAGGTGGACGGTAAGGGATTCTGGCCCACCGTGTAGAAGGGGTCTGTCTGTGACATGGACGATAATAAATAATAGTGCCATAACTATTTATTCTAACTTTCATGTTCATTGCCCAAAAATACTACGTATTATTGTTGGCAGAGTTTGAATGGGAATCATTGTTTTTGGTTATCAAAAGGCTATCAGTGTGAATAGAAGGGAATTGTTGCATACTGTCATGAAATCAGCTGCAGTTAAAGCAATCAATCGCTGCAACTTTCTAGTTTCAGATTTCAAGTAGTCCTTCCATCAAATGTTAGACCAACCAATTATTAGTAGAATATATGTAATACAAAGTTGATTTTAAATTTACAAAATATCCATATATAATCTAAAAAATCTGGTGTGTACACTCACACGACTTTCCTAAGTTTTTATATCTTTACATATGTCCATCAAGAAACAAAAAAAAATTGAATTAATTTATTTTTCGGAAAACTGATCAAAGAAAAGATTTCAGTAAGATTTATTTGATAATCTAAAGCAATGAAAACCGGCTTAAGGTAGATCAGGGTAAAAATTTCAATACCCTCTAATATTGCTGATCAAAAACTTTTTACCATAGCATAATTTTGTCAAACAATAATTTCTGCTAAAAGTACAGGAAATAGTGAAGCTTGTGTGATGTGGGTAACAGATTTTCTTACTTTCACTTAGTTATCTTTTTTTTTTTCATTCATCCTTTTCTGACACCAGAATATGAACCCGTAATCTTACATTGGAAATTGAATAGCTGTAACTTCATTAATAGTTGGCCGAAATGAACGATTTTTTATATAGTTATGTAGGGAATTTTATTACCTTTAAAAAAAACAAAAACTAAACAGTCTTTTTTTTGGACTCACAAACGTTTAGATCCGTCGAAAACCGCATATCAGAAATTTGACCCGATCACAATACTTTCCTTAACTAGTATACGTAAGAAAGTAATAAATTAAAACATGTGTAGAAAATAGAATGAGCTGTATTATCACTAATACTGGTTCGATTCTGATGATTTTTTTTTTGGTAATTTAATTACGATTCAAAAGTTTTATTATAAATTTTACCATAGAATATATACTTAGCGAGTTAGGTCCCAAAACATTTTTCTTTTCTTTATAACTTTTTTTCCTGATTTTTCTCGGGAATTTAGTCCATGTATGAAAATTAAAAGGACAATTATTAGAACATTATAAAAAAGTTTCATCAAACTCGTTAGAGTGCTCTATTACGCATGGAGCACTCAATTTGTGTCATAGGCATCAGTAGTCAAAACCCTACAAAATAAAAAAAGAAGCAACAAAATCGGTTCACTAGTTTCCAAGAAAAACTTGGCATAGACAGACAGACCAATGGCTAAAAATGTGTTTTTCAGACTCAAGGAGCTCTGAAACATACAGATCCGTCGAAAACCACATATCGGAAATTTGACCCAATTGCAATACTTTCATACCATACTTAATTATAATCAATATCTTTGGAATGAAATTAAAAACTTTCAAAAGATAACCAAATTTCAATTTTATTTTTTCGAACTTGGTATAAGAGAATATAAACAATTAGTAATAAAATTTCAAAAATGATCCTTTTTCTTAAACTTTATTTCACTTGTCTTCAATATTTATAGTCCACAATCAAGAGAAAACATAACTATAAAGTTTCTCAAGGTTTCTTTACATATTTAATGATCCTCTACAAAAGAAAAAGAAATATTTCGTCATTTTCCCTTGCCATCAGGCAATATACCACATGCCACTTTCCTGTTTCTTCTCATAATTCTTCACTCATTCTGTCTGCTATTACTTTTAGTTTTCATTGAAGGAGATTAAAGTACAGATAAGTTATCTTAACTGAAAGATAAGATAAATCTTCCTCTGTGTTGATATCTAGTTTCTCGGAGTAGTTTGTCTCTCATTGTCTTAAATCTTAAAATCGGTATAGGTTGTGACATGCTCAGCAGTTTTTAGAATACCACTACAGGGAGATAAGAGGTTAAGGTTTTTAACTAAAGCATGGAGCTTGGTGTGAAATTTGATACGTCCAATAAACAGAGGAGAATCCATTTGGCCTTCCCTGATTATTGGATTTCGCATTATGATTGGGAAGAGAAGGTAGAGAAGTATTTTTTCAAGGGAGAGCCTTCATGAGTAATTAGCCACTGTCGATAACATTTCTTGGGGATGGGATGGCTGATGTGTAGTGATAGTGGGCTAACACATTTGCAATACAGACATTGCCTCACAACCTGAAGATCACAAGTTCAAGTCTTGGTGCTGGAAGTAATTAACTCTGGCAATGATTCCCTGCCCTGGGAGAAAAAGATTCCACTTCTTAATGGAGTCCTCCCATGTTATTCTTTTCCATTCAATGTGACCTACTGCAATCCTGTATTGGAGATTTTCCAAAAGATATGCAGGTTTCTTTCTTATGAGAAGTTTCTATTCCAGGATGCGGGCACACACCTAAGGATACCCAGTATTACTCCTGATATACAGCTATTATAAATACTTGTTCATTACCAGGAACCTGAGACACCAGAAGATGCCGCTAATACGATAGTCAATTTAAAAAAAAAAGGCACTAATTTATATTGCTATCTTATCTGCAAATTATAAGAGGATTATGGATCAAGCTGAAAATATAACAGTATTCTTGAAATACCATCGTAATGGGCAAAATTATAAATTAGAGTAAACAATAGTAATCTAATTTAAAATGTTCAATAATAATGATGAGAATCAACATTGTTTAAACTAATTTAACACATATAAATCTCAGACCTCAAAGTACTGAATTATTCTTGAAAAATGTCCTGAGAATATTTTGCAGATTTATCATTAATAACTTTATAGTATATTGCAAAAATAAACATTTTTTTTTTCAAGATTGGCTAATGTTTATATATTTCTGCTAAGGGCTGTAAAAAGGACAAATCCCAAAAATATTTGAGAGAGGAGATAATTAAATTTTAAATAGTTCCCTATGATATTCAAAGGAAGAAGAACATTAATTTCACTTAAAGGAATCAGGATAAATGCTTATTTATGGCAAACTATTCAATATTCAATTCCCCTGTGAAACTGTTAGTTCTAATATTTGATTTTTTTACCACCATCAACAGATATAACTTTGAACACCATTCAATAAAGCATTTAGAGACCAAACACCATTTCAATATGGTGATGACACATTTACATTTGAATTATATTTATAGCATGCTATTATTGACTCCATATATGAAGTCAACACATTCCACTGAAATGTAAAATGGTACTATTTCACTAGTGGTTCTCATTGATGACTATAAAACCAAGTTATTATAGTTTATTAGGAATAAATAAAATAAGCTATATACATAAAAAAATTAATATTGCTTATATACATAATAGTAATTACATAAATATAATTATTCAGTCGTCATTCAAGTATTAACTGCATTTTCTTCTTCATTTTCCAAAGCAGGACATAAGAATTTTTTCTTTAAAATATATATTTTCTTATTTGATAAGCATATTATGTAGCTTGATTCCTTAAAGACAACTAAAACAAAGGTAAACAAAGTTTTGGAATATAATACTTCATAAATTGTCTATTATTAGTATAGTAAAAGATTTTAAGTTACTTGATATTTTTTTAAAAATTCCATCATCTGACCCCAATTTATCTGTTATGGAAAGCAAATTGTAAACTACATTTGCGACATCTTCATTGTTTTCTAGTTCTCCTCCTGACTGTAAAGGTATTGCTCAAAATTATAACAATCACAGAAAGATTATAAATCAAATTAGGTAAATAAAAAATGTTATTAGTTATCCATAAGGACGAGTCAAAATTTCAGTTGTCAATATAAAATAAATTTACATATTTTTGCTAATACTTACTGACAATATGACACCATCTTCTGCCAGGATCAGATGACCTAAAGCATCAGGTATTTTATCTAATGATATCATTTTTTACTGAAGTCAAACCATCTAAAAGACAACTCAACACACATTTGTAAATAAAATTCAATAAATTGCAGAGGAGGAGATAAGTTTATAACAGTGAGAACCTCCCACCTGACAGATTCAAAAACATTTTTTTTTCATAAAAAAAGTCTTAAGAATAAAGTCCTGCATAATTATTACGACAGAAGATTTGTATTAACAAAAGGATTTAATAATTTATAAATAGTTTGAAATTTAATTTATTTCTGTTCTAAATAACCAGCACACGAAGGTTCACGTCACCCCACTAGTATTGAATGGGCCGTGGTAGAGGCAGGTAGTGAGACTTCCTTTCTTTTACCCTTCTACAGCCGTGTTTAACCATTGCGCTTGCTGAAACTAATATCCAAGGTAATCTTTTTAATATTGTTATATAAAACATTGTTCATGACTTAAGTTGTGTTGAATAGCTAAGTCTAAATTATCTCGGCTTTGAGTTTTGCTAATTTCGGTAGATAGTAACATGTGGATAGAGGTGAACATAACCTAGAAGCGTTCTCTTATTATTTATTTACATGTCTCCCTTACTTTCCTGAATACTTTAAATTCTTTAGAGTCGTTATTTTTCATTGTTTATATTTTAGAACAAGCTTTAACTTTTCGTGTTACTGTTCAGATTTTCAATTATTTATTTTAACCTGTGGGAGGGTTTCATACAAGATGTTATGTCGTTATTAATCAATCTAATTTTATTAATTTCAGGATGGTGCGTATGAACGTGTTGAGTGATGCTTTGAAATCTATTAATAATGCTGAAAAAAGAGGAAAAAGGCAAGTCCTCATCAGGCCTTGTTCTAAAGTTATAATCAAGTTTCTCACAGTTATGATGAAAAAAGGTACCTACATATTTTTATATTTTCATTTATGATTCTATGTTTAATATGTTGCCAGCGTTTTTAGAAGTGCATTGTTTACTATTTTATTTACTTTTAGGTTACATTGGCGAATTTGAAATTGTTGACGATCACAGAGCAGGAAAAGTAGTTGTAAATCTGAATGGAAGATTAAACAAATGTGGAGTAATTTCACCTAGGTTTGATGTTCCCATTGGACAGATTGAGAAGTGGACGAATAACCTTCTGCCTTCAAGACAGTTTGGGTAATTATTCTTTAATTGTTTCATATAACTAAACCAGTTGATTGTTATGTTTTTTTGTCACTAGTTTTGTTTTATGAAAGTTTTGTGGATAGTTTCTATGAATAACCTTTTTTCAATACACCTGATTTCTTCAAAGCTGTTTTTATTTTTATTTAAAATACCTCTGAGGTATTGTGAATTTTTTAATGTACTAGTTAATGCCTTTTTGTATTTCTCTTATTATTTTTAAATGCCTCCATAATAATTTTTTCTGTCATCTAAAATATTTCCTAATTTTTTTAGTTGCTATGTTTTCTCTGTACAATTTTAGTATAGTGGCATTTGTAGTATTGTTGATAGTTTTATTTTATGTCTGGGAATTACCTCAATGGTATTATATGGTACTGGTTATTTAAAATATTTCTTAATTTTTCGTTGCTGTTTTCTTCATACCATTAGTATAGCGGTATTTTAGTATTCTTGATGGTTTTATTTAATTTTTTTGGGGGGGAATTATGTACTGTTATTGCTTGTGAGATAAAAAAAAATGTGATCCATGTTTTCCATACTTGGTTATTTATATCATATTTAATTTTCCAGTATATTCAAGTACCTGCTCGAGACTTGATTCAAATATATTATTTTTTTTAATTTGTAATTTTGGCATCCCACATGTTTTGCTAATTTATCTTTTATGATTGTATATGAAGAACAGGATAGTGTTCTTAGTGGTTGTGTTATGTTATGTTTGCCAATCATTTTCTTAACTAATCTTTATATTTGAAGTACGTAATATTATGGTTCTTAAGTTCACCTTTCTTGGCCTAAATGACCACTAAATGTTTCTAACACGTTTTAATTACTACTTCACAACTATTGCACCAGCATGATGAGTGGGAACAATATTTCATGATCACACTGTGTTAGTTTTGTGTGTTGGTAAGCAGGAGGTTCCTGAAATCTCTAGTATGGCCTCGAAACCAACTAAAAAGTAAAAGTTCGGGGTTTATTCATCCTTTTTGAGTGAGCACAAGTCGAAATCCACAATATAATTAAAGGTATTGCAGGTCCTGATTTGATTCGAAAAGGAACTATTGGGAAGTTGTGGAAGTCATTCATCACAATCTTACATCAATACAACTACATTCTTAAAATTGCTCTCATAGTGTTATTTTGTGCCCTTCTAATTTGTTGGAGTGTCACTTATGTAGTGGTTACACAATGTAACAAAATTGAACCAATGGCTGGCTCCCTATTTATTAAGATTCGTTAATGCTATGCAGAGATGCCCATCCCCTCCCCCCCAACGTCGACAGCACAAGAACCTCTTCCCACCTCCAAGATATTTTATTACTCTTATTTTCTTAAAAACAGAACAAGCTAAGGTTGAATTAGAAAAATCGTAGACCCCTCCCCCCCAACGTCGACAGCACAAGAACCTCTTCCCACCTCCAAGATATTTTATTACTCTTATTTTCTTAAAAACAGAACAAGCTAAGGTTGAATTAGAAAAATCGTAGATTATACACAATTACACTTGCTGTGGTCTGTTCCATGTTTTCTCCTTGTCCCTTAGTATGTAACTTTTCATAACGAAATTCATAACCTTATCAAAATATGCCCCCCTCAAAATTTTAAAATCCTGTCAAAATATGCTCCCTCAAAAATTTTAATGGTGCAACTTGCGCCATGAAACTATCTAATCTGGGCACCCCATGTGCTATGGATTGCCTGAAGCAGGATACTAAGTTAATGTTTGAAATGATTTAATTATTTCTTGTGTGATTCTTTGGAAATTTTGACTGTTTATTTTAACTTTATCTTCACCCAACTGTAAATAATTCCTGTTTTTTTTTAAGTTGCTAGTTTCCTGTAGTCACTTAATCTAAATAATAGTTTTCTGATCCATACATTATATATTATCGGTTTATTTTAAAAAGTGATTATATGCGACATTTTGTAACCTTTTAATTGATCAAGAATTTTCTCTTTAAGAAATCATAAAATTGTGTGCTCTTTGTAACTATATTTGATGTATAAAACGATATTGTTTCATTTACATGCACTTCCAGTGTTTTGTATAAATGAAGTTGAAATTCACAAAAACATATTGAAGTTAATCTATTATGTTTTTTTTTTTAGTACTATTGTTTCTTTGCCATTTTTTTGTCAAATTTTAAGTATGTATTTTTTTTACAATTAATTTTGTTGCTTCTTAAAATTAAAACCTAATAATTAATAAATTTTAGTTATAATCTTAAATTTGGGTAAAAGTTATGTTCCAATGGCTCCATCCCTACTTAGTTTTCGATTAAGTTCTGATCTTACAGTTAGAGTTAGATATTTGTTCTAGTCAAAACATCACTGCAGTGATGAAAATTAGGAACAATTTCTTGATTAAGCTCTCTTTATTTAACATTATTTGAAACTTTAGGTTGATTTCAATATGTATAGGAACTATTGATTAATACCCCTACATGTTAGTTTCTATATGTAAAAGGAATATTATTCGCATGCCAAATTATTATTAGCACAACTTATGTATTTTTAACATTTATAATATCTCAAAATGATTATTCTCAAAGTCGTCGAACTTGTGATATGAAGAGCAAGTTTAGGAATTTGCCCAGATATTTAAAATTATGGCTGTAATTTTTAATAGTTACCCAGTGGATTTAAATTTGAAAAAAAAAATTGCGGTCTGTAAGATACAATTACAGATTGATACATTTGTAACCTAAGTTGATTTTGTTGTACCTACACCTAAAAATATGTTGAAATTCATGTAATCATATAGTAACAACTAGATTAAAGAAACTAAATTAAAACAATTATTGTTTTAATTTAGTTTCTTGTTTCAATTGTTCAAACGTTAAGCATTTTCTCTCCAACCTTTAACTGCTACAATGTCTTACTCTCCTTGGATCATGTCTAAATGACCCTTTAAAATATATTTGTGCTGCTAATTTAATTTCAAAATATATTAAAAACCATATTATAGGTCACTCACAAAGTTCTTGAGCAGTCATCCAGTAGACTTTTGCATAATTCTTTAATATAGTTTTGATTTATTTTTGTGATAATGAGTTATTCATTCTCTATTACATGTATGTTTTGTTTACCAGAATTCAGTGTCCATTTGAAACTAACCAGCATGACTTTCCAGTGTTTTTATTTTTTTGTCATTCTTTATTTAACCAGTTGTGTTTACCAGTAATGGTTTCCCAGTATACTAGAATTTACTTATGGATAATTCCACCTAATATAATGAGGCTTTCCAAAGTTTGAACAACATTGAAGTTACTCTGTTTGAAAACCACTTCATTTTTGTTGATTATCCTTATAACTATTAATCCCTTATAATTGTTTTATTTTTAAACCTTCATGAATGATGTTTAGATGAAAAGGCATGCCATCTGTCCAAAAAAATAATAGATAAATAACCTCTTACTGATTAGTGTCGCTAGATACTAATTGTCATGTTTATTTTTTGTTCTAGGTATGTTGTATTAACAACAAGTGGTGGAATTATGGATCATGAGGAGGCTAGGCGGAAACATCTGGGAGGCAAAATATTAGGGTTTTTCTTTTAGATTTTATAAAAAATATAAAAAATGCGAAATAAATTTTTCATTTCGTTATACCTATGTCTAATGTTTATTTAGTAATATTCCCTTATTCATATTGTTTCAATGACTGAAACTATAATCAAATATTACAATATATTAAGAGATTCATTTGAAGAGGTCCATTAGGGTATTCAAGACATTAACCCTTTGTAGGACTAAATTACTTATGTTCAAATTAAAAAAAAAAAATTAGTGGAACGATTGCAAAGACTCATGTATAGTGACATAAATATGAACAGCAGGAACAACTCACATAAGCTTGAAAAAAAAAAAAAAAATTATATAAGCAGATATGAGGCGGAAGGGTAGAACCTATTTGTTCCCACTGTATGCTGAATGACCAAAATTTTCATTTAATCGCTACTTATATATCTTTTACTTAAAACCTACTAATTATTATTTAAAAACATTTGATTATGTGAATGTACTGTTGTTGTTGTTTTTAATTGAAAAGTTTATAAAATAACAATATTATTTTTTTTTAAATTAAGAGATCAAATTGAAATTGAAATTTTCAATTTTACAGTAAAATTAATTGAACCTAACATTAAAAGTTAACTAGTATAGAAGTCTCCGGTGAGAACTCTCATATCACACAGCTAATCCCCTCTAATGCATTCAGTATCAGTATAATAGGGACACAAGTGAAACATGTTTATTTAATCATACAATATATTATTATCAAGATAGTATAGTCTATTCAATACTAAATTTAATAAAGTAATAATTTACTTAATAAGTGATTAGCTTGTTCCTTTACAAAACATCCTTCCAGTTAACAGTTGCGCAATGAGATAAAACTCCCTCAACTTACACTAATCCATTATTGTACTCTCTGAAGAACTGACCTATTCATTTGGTGTATTAGTACTTTGGTTTGTTCTATCACTAAGAGTATAAAAGCCATACTTGGATTTTATTTTTTATTCATTAAATTTATCAAAAAGTTACTAATCCGAAGGGATCAGAGAGCTATTCTTCTCAATCCATCTTTTCTGTATATTTTAAATTCGTTAGGGGCTATCATAAATAACATTATTTTAATGTTTAATACCTAAACACATGAGTATCCCATGACTACCTAAGAGAACCTCTGTCATCATAACTGTGTTGAAATCTTGAAATCAATTTTTCCCTCTCAATTGGTTGACTGTGAAACCATATGAATTTTTAAACCTAATTCTATCAATGTCTCCTTTTATTGATGATGAAGGAATTTTAGGATTGAAATTGGAATCCCTCTGTTCCCTAGGAAATTTCTTTTCATTTGATACTGCTCTCATCAAAATAACTCACTCCTGAGCAGTGTTGCTGCACACTATGAGACGAATCCTCGTATATCCTCATACACTTGCTCATTGATTCATAATTTGTACTATTGTAGGCTCAATGTTACTGTTTTTATTAGATAAATTATGTCAGATCTTTGCTTATTTGTTCGATTCGTATATTTAGAAAATTTTCATATTTCTTTTTTAAGCTAATGAGTAAAGAGTAAAATGAGTTTAATTTAAGGTACAAAATAAGTTTTATGAAACATATATTTTTAGAAACTATGGGAAAACATCTAATAAAAAATAAAATAGCTAAATAAACATTTTGACCGATTCAATATTCCCATCATCATTAAAAATGGAAGTTTGAAATTAGGCAAAATATTAATGAAATTAATTAAAATTAAAAATATTAAAATTATTTTTAAAAATGAGTTACAATTTTTTAATATTTTTATTTATCCATATCAGGGGTCACCAAACTATGGTCTGTGGGCTGAATCCAGCTCACAAAAGTTTCTTTGATTAAATGGTAACATTTTAAAAATGTGAAATTTAGCAAATTACTCACTCACGAGGTTACTATAACATTTTTTTTCTCTTTGAAAGCTTATTTTACAGCTGAAGTATCATTTATAGAACAAGATTTTTTTTTTCATCTCGAGTCATGGCCCATGGCACTTCTGTGGAGGTCTCAATGTTGCCCGTGGACCAAGAAGTTGAGATCCTTGATCTAGATAATTAAAAAAAAACAATGTGTATATGAAATCACTGTTTTATGAAGGAAATAATAATCATACTCAAATGAAAATAGATATGATTGCAATTTATTTCACTATAAGTCAACATAAATTAAGTATTTAACATTAATATCAATAATAAAACTGAAAATAGTTGTGAACCAAATCTAAAGTTTATTCATAAAAATATATCTTTGCATACATAGGTAAAAATGAGGTATGAGGTTGGTTGTATCTTGTACAATACATTAAAATCTCGTGCAAATACGAGGACCTCCATACGAATGGCAACATTAATTATGAAAGCCAGGAAAGAGATCTGCTAAAAGAACAAATCCAGCACAACCTATGAATGATTTAGTCACAAAAAATGTTAATATCATTATATAAATAGGCAAACACAAAACTGTGCAGCCCCTCTATTATTCAATTGATTTTCTTTCTTCTTTTTTTGTTTAATAGCTATTGACGAACTTTAGTTTTATCAATAAATAAAAATATGAAATAGTGTATTTAAATAAAAATATAAGTGGTAGTTTGTTCAAAACAGCTAATCTCAAGTTCTCTGATTTCTTTGAAATTTTGACACAACGTAGCAATAATATTCAGGAGTGTTTCTATATACGTTTCAAATATCAGACCTTTCTTTCGAAATGGCTGTTGAAAAACGTGATTCGCTTCAGACTGTAGACAATACGGCTGCAACATTTTAATGAAACTTTGCTAAAGTCTTCCTTAAATGTTAAATGTTAATGGAATGTTATCTCATAAATTAAATTTAAAAGTAAATTCTATAGTTGTGTTCATTCTTACATTAAATACTGCACAATTATTAATTAAGGGAACAAGAATGAGAGTGAAGTACTAACGGGAGCTACTTTAAATAAAAGAATTTTATTAATTCCAAGAATTAATTTTAACATTTTCTGACACAATACTTCCATTCGAATTTCAACGAACAACGTTCTTATTAATAGCTGCATTTGCTATGACCATAATCAAATCGCAGTGTCAAAGTTTTGGAAAAATTTGGTTATTATTGCGACATCCAGTAATTTCGCATCGACAATTATATGTGGCAGCAAGTGGAGCACGTTTGTTTAAAATTTTGAAATTTATATTTCCAATGGCAGTGGGCAAGGTTATGTACTAAATAACAACAGAACATTCTAAAAGAACATTGTTTACAGAGAAGTTCTGCATAAAAATTGATTTAAACTGAATTGAAATTGTTAATTTAAATTTATTTTTTACTTGATTAGTCATAACATTAATTTATTGTGATAATAACACAGATAAATTAAAATGAAAATGATTTGAAATTGAATTGAATTGAATGATTTAAAATGAAATATTTTTGAATAAGTCTATTTTGTAGTGCTTATAAATAATTTTAAAAAGTTTAAGCTAAATTTTTAAATGAATTTGAAATTTTGTTTTTATTGATAATGAGGATTTTTCAATTGATTTACTCTTAATTTATTGAATTTATTTTTTATTTAATTATATGTTTTCCTCAATTTATTAATGTTTATGATGTAGAGATGGTTGACCGTTGATATAATATGAGGAGTTAGTCAAGGGTGCGATCAAATAAATAAAAAAAATTAAAATATATAAATTAAAATAATTTATATATTTTAATTTTTTTTATTTATTTGACCGCACCCTCGACTAACTCCTTCTCATATTAATGGTTATGGTCGAATTTCGACCACTGGGCGAACACAAGTTTTAATAAAAGCTCAACAGAATGAAACAATGTGACTTTTTAATGAATGAATCATTTTATTTAATGTTTAATAATATATTTAACTTTAATTCTTTAAAATTAAAGAATTCTTTGTCAATTATAGCAAACAAATCATAGGAACATCAGGTTTATAAACTTTGGCATCCTGTATCACCACAAATCTGCTCTCTCACTGCAGTTTGGTCTGGGTTTCAACTTATTATTTTCCCTATTTCTAAGAGTACTGTAGAAGCAAAACTAGAACCATAGATTTTTTAACCACCTGGAATAGGAGGAATATTGGGCCACTATCCTATAAAGAGTTGAGGTTGCAAGTACCACTAAAGTTTCTAAAATGTGTAATTTATGTATCTTTTAAAAAATACATAACTGTGAAATATAAAGAAGAAATCCACTAATTGATGCACAAAGAATGGGGAAGAATAGAGGTTGGAAAATAATGCATGGTTTTGGTTTAAAAAGAAAGATTTACTACTGTTTTATTTAATCACGACAGTCTCCAGTACTATCAATACATTTCTGCAAACTTGTTGGCAACTTTTCCATTCTCTCCGAATAGAATTCCCGATCTTTAGAATTAATAAACTCCGAAAACGCATTTTCTTATTCCCTTCGTCCATTAAATTTTTTGTCATGTAAGTAGTGATCCAGGTGTCCATGAAAATGAAAATCCATAGGCGAGAGGTCCGGAGACAGTGGCAGTTTCTTATCCAAGCTCCAACGGTTTTTGTGGCCACACGTGAGACACTTCGCACTAAAATGGGCCCCTTCCAATTGACCAAAGCTTCATTATTGCCAATTTCTAATTCATTGCATTAATTTGGTTACAATTCGATTCGGCATTGATGGTTTCTAGAGAATTTAAGAAGCTGTAGTGTATCAAACCAAATGAAGCCCACCAAACAGTAACCATCACCTTATGTTGATGAGTTGGAGCCTTTGGAAAATGTTCTGCTGTTTCTCCTTCGTCGAGCCACTGTCCAGAACGTCTACTGTTATCGCGAAGTACCCACTTTACATCACAAATAAAAAATTCTGGACAGAAAAGGCTCGCTTTTGTTTCGGCAAAGAAATGTAGCACAAAATTTATAATGCTGTTTTTTTTTTTTGGCGGTCGTTTAATAAGTGTGGAACCCTACTTTCAAGCTTTTATACCTTCCCAATCGCCTTGAGGTGGACATCGACGGTCGATTTACTAAGGTTACGTTTCCCTGCAAGTTTTCTTACAGTTATTCTGGGGTTGTCT